GGACGAAACCTAGGGGCGGCCAAACCAAAACATGGCACAAATCCATGAAGTCACTGACAACTGGATTAAGTCATGTCGGTAACTGTAGACTACCTGGTTGGGGTCCTGTTACGCCTGCACGTAAACACGTCATTTTGATATACTTGAGCTATTACGAGTTTACCTAGTCGGAAAACGAGAGCGAGGATCGAGGATCCGGCAACACGACATGCTACTCAAATCCGATTATCCCAACTCCCATATTGAGTAAAAATAAGACTTGATATGAAGTAGAACCTGTATTCTACAAGCATCCAGAAGGTACGAGGTCCTAGTCCAGAAGAGAATCAGGATCCCAGACCAGGGGTCCGGAACGGGGTCCTGGTCATAAAACGTTACAGATAATGCGTATTTGTATTTGCGTATTTTGGTCGAATAGGAAACAGCATCGAAGTCTGTGACATTATAAGTTAAGACGACCAATAAGAAGCAACATTTGAAGTGACATTGATAATCAGGACAACCAATAAGATACAACATTGGAGCACGTGACATTGATATCTACTTGGACGACCATAAAATTGACCAGTAGGAATTAACCAATAGGAATTGGCCAATAATTCTCTTAGGATATTAAATGAATATCCTAACATGTCCGCTATATGATAGTAATTGATGGTTAGACAACTTGAATGACAACATAGCTCAAAACCGTTTACAATAATAGGTCAGGTGCATCCATTCATTATGGTTTCTAAAATCCTAATCTTCTGAATTCGTCACAACCGTTTTTTCTCTTTTTAACTGATTCCTCTGTGGTATACATCTCGAATGGTATACTGGATTGTTAGTCTTTTTGATTACTGCTGATACTTCTACTACCGCTACTACTATGTGATATGACAATCCGATCTTTGTATGCTAATGTGATATGGCAATTTGCACTGATATGTCCGTACGTCCGACGTTCTACGTTGTAACTGTCAGTCAATTGCAACGTAGAACTACGTACGTATGTACATAAGTTCATGTTGTCATACCACATTAGCACAGAGACGCAAATGTCAAATCAAATCCCATAGTGTTAAAGATAGTAGAGGTTGCCCCTAGCTCTCTTCCATCCTACTCCTACACCACAAAACATAGCTCGTCGAGGCAGTCGGTGGTTAGGCATACGTAACACATGTCCCAACCACCTCAACCGATGAAGTTTCACTACTTCATCTATTGATCTGCCATCGTTACCTAGAACTCGTTTCCTAACCATACCATTGCTTACTCGGTTGTCCCACGATATACGAGCAATGCTTCTTAAACATCTATGATCGAATACTAGTAACCTACGAACATCTTCTACTCTTAACAGCCATGTTTCGCATCCATATAGGAGAACGGAGCGAACTGTTGCGCAGTACACCCGTCCTTTGGTCAGCGAACGGATATCATGCCTACGCCATAAATGACGCAGGTTGGCAAAAGCCAATCGAGCTTTCTGTATCCGAGCTGAGATTTCGTCAGACACCAGGCTGACAGCTCACCACTAAACTTGAAGATCTCTTCAGTTTGACCCCCCATAAATGGTCGTGGGTATGCATTGTTGAAGAAGCCCCAAATTACATCGAAACAACTACCATCTAGTAGTATTCTTTCATTTTCAATATTTTTATATCAGCTTACATTGATCATTTCAATCAAAGCTCAATAGCTCGGCAGATTTCAATTCTTTCTTTATTGAGTCATTCTTTTATTTTGACTGTTCCTAATGGCTTTTTTTCTAGTGTGATCAACATGCCTCTCATGATCTAATTGATCTAATATTACGCTACTTCAGCACAAATTAACAGTTATGTAATATCGCTTCAATTGTCAGTAGTGTGTTAGTGTTATTCTGTTCATTTATATGAACATACAAACAGTATGTTTGTTTATACAATGAAATAATAGGTCAGTTATTGAATACATACTTTTCACATCAAGAGTGAATCGATCAATCGATATTCATTTATTTGTGCATTGCTCTCATTACGTACCAGTGATAGTGAATTATTAACCGAAAAAAGCATTTTAATAATAAATCTACATTGATCATTGAGAGAATAGTTAACTCAACTCTGCTCGTATAACCTGGGACACCCGACAGAGAAACGCTGCTATTAGGAATCGGGTGCTAGGTAAGAATGGCAGATCAATAGACGCAGTAGTGACACTTCATCAGTTGAGGTGGTTGGGACATGTGTTACGTATGGCTAACCACCGACTGCCGCGACGAGCTACGTTTTGCGGTGTTGGAGTAGACTGGAAGAAAGCTAGGGACGGCCAAACCAAAACATGGCACAAATGCATGAAGTCACCGACATCTGGACTGAGCCGTGTTGGTAGGTGTCGACTACCTGGTTGGGGTCCGCGAGATGATAATAATCGATGGTTAGAGACCTTGAATGACATGGCTCAAAATCGTTCGCAATGGCGCCGGTGCATTTATGCTTTGTGTTCTCTCAAATCCTAATCTTTTGGGTTCTTCAACCACTCTAGTTTAGACTTTCTAAAGTTTACTCACTGAATCATACTTCTTGATTAATATCTTCTAATCCTAACCTCTCCGATTACTCCTAATACCCTTACTACCTCTCTTCTACTATTGGATTTGAATTGACAATTACATCTCTGTGCTGATGTGGTATGGCAACATGAACTGATGTACTTACGTACGAAGTTGTACGTTGCATCTGACTGACTGACTGACTGACTGACTGACTGACCATGATTATTGTATTTCTACTTGCTTTTTAAATAATTATGAATCCATTTTTCATTGCTATCGACAAGCCATTATTCTCCTTGTGAAAGAGTTAGTCCGTCAGTCAGTCAGTCAGTCAGTGTGTCGGCTACAACGTAGAACTTTGTACGTACGTACGTACGTTCAAGTTGCACACAAAGATTGAATTGTCAATTCAAATCCTATAGTAGTAGTAGTAGTAGTGGTTGTGTAGAAGTATTAGTGGTGATCAAAACGATTAGGAATTGAAGATATACTTCGTGAAGTATATCCCAGTGGAATCAGTATAGAAAAAAAGAGAGAGAACTAAACACTGTCATGAGAAGTTTTTGGAAGATTAGAATTTGAGGAAAGACAAAGAATGAATGCACCTGTGCTATTGTAAACGATTTTGAGCCATATCATTCAAGGTTCCTAACAATTAGTTACCTCAACTAGGTATTCTACACCTACTAACATTACTCAGTCCAACTGTTAGTTACTACATCGATTTGTGCCATGTTTTGGTTTGGCCGCCGTTGGATTTCTCCCAACCTACTTCTACACTACGAAACATCGCTTGTTTAGGCAGTCAGTGGTTGAGTATACGTAAGTCAAGTCCCAACTAGCTCAACTGATGAACATTCACTATTTCATCAATTGATCTTTCATCTTTACCCAGTACTCTTTTTCCTAACAATGCATTGCTTACTCACTTAGTCAGTCAGTCAGTCATATGCAACGTAGAACTTCGTACGTAAGTACATCAGTTCATGTTGCCGTACCTCATCAGCACAGAGATGTAATTGTCAATTCAAATCCAATAGTAGAAGAGGTAGTAAAGGTATTAGAAGTAATCGGAGAGGTTAGGATTACAAGATATTATTCAAGAAGTATGATTCAGTGAGCAAAGTTTAGAAAGTCAGAACTAGAGGGATTGAAGAATCCAGAAGATTAGGATTTGAGAGAACACAGAATAAATGCACCGGCGCCATTGCAAACGGTTTTGAGCCATGTCATTCATTCACTCGGTGGTCTCGAATTATGCGAGCAATACTTGGCAGACATCTATGATCGAAAACTAGTAATCCTACAAATGTCGTCTATTCTTAGTGGCTATGTTTTTTAATGAAATTGAGGAAGAGTTGCTTTGTTTGAAGAATCTGAGGCTTGAAAAAAAGTATTGAAACGAAGCTAGCAATTATATTGCCATTGTTTCAGGATACAGCAGTAAATTGCGAAACACCTATCATAACATTCACTTGTGAGGGTCTAAATCTTCCTGTCTCCTTGAAACACTACCAATGTTCAGTGTATTTGAGAATATGAGCATCTTGAATAAATTACCTAAATACTACCATCAAGTTACCAATCCCAGTCATCGACATTCGAGAAGCGCACTGCTACACAACGAGCAGTTCATATGCCGCCGAGAGAATGGACTTACAACGTTGCTCAAATCTACTGGACATTTGTATATGTGTATATGTATGGGTGGTTACATGTATGTATGCATGTTTGTGTGTGTGTGTGCGAATACGTATATGAATGCCAGACAGTCACATGCACCCAGTCAGTCAAAATCTTCGTCATCTCCACCCAACAAATTGAGCACGAGTGAGGATCACATGCTACCAATACACATTGTAAGCATATGGGCGTCAGAATCGTCTGTTTCGCAATGAATGACTTATCGCTTTCTCACCAATCATACGTGTCGCGTCCATCAGACCGATCAACTGTCAGGTTGTGCCAGTGATCTAGGATCGTTGTGCACAATGGTGTTCGGATTCCCATCTTCTCTTCTCACCTCTCGCTACATTTTCTCTCACCGCTTCTTACTCTCCCCACCCGCAACATTATGTTGGCTCGTCGCATGGAATCTCGTCAGCACGAGTTACATTTCATTCACCATCAGTTGTAGGTTACGTGAACTCTAGTGTCTGCATGTATCACGCTAACTCACCATCTCCATATTGATTGCATCGATGAGTGTGTTGTGCAGTTCACATTACCCACACATTGACTGGAAGAGTGCAAAACGTCAGTCGATTAAGTGTACATCTTGACTAATAGAAGTGTGTCTGTGATCGCGATGCACAGAAGACCAACTCTGCAGATGTTGTACTTGCATATGAATGTTCGTATTTCAAAATTATCTTATTATTTCTACTACTACTACTGTCATGTATCTTATCTATCCTCTGTAAGTACATTGTTTCTTTTGAAATTATCCCATCTTTTATTGTATTGATTTAATTAACAGAGCTACATGTTTATTATGGACAGCACCTATAAATAATAGTCATTTAGACAATGGTCTACTTATATCTGGTTCATCATCTGGAAGTCTATATTTATATGACAGTCAAAAACTTATTTCTTTACATGAAAACACATCATCTTCACGAATTACTACTACTACTACCGATCATCATATCAATCAGTATACTACTTTAAATCATGTTCATAGTAGTATTGATAAAAATCATGAAAATAATGATTTTGCAACCATTAGTCAACAATCAGCATCAATTTGTATCAGTGAAAATGATGTGCCTAATTATTTGTATACATCACGTGAAAATATTCATCAAGGTGTTGTAAGAAGTTTGGATTTCAATCGATTTCAGGTTAGTAAATTTGTTGTTATTGTTGTTATTAGTTAAATCTATTATCTGGTGATGTAATTCGAAAATTGATAATAATGAGCCAATTAGAAGCGACCATTTAAGAAGGTCATTTGATGTTTTAAAGGACCAATGCATATCGTTGGTCATAAAATGGATTCACTTTCTAATGGATATGAGTATTTATGTATAGGATTATGTAATTAAATAGGGTTTTTCTTCCGCATTTTCCTGTGGTGGTCAATATATCACTAGTTTCTTGACGGTTGGTATCCAATGTGTTCTTAGACTTGGTAATTTGCTCGTCCAGACAATCGTTACTAAATAGCGCCTTAAGGTTTTAAATCAGAAGGTTAACACGAAATGTTGAATACGTTTATTTTGGCACACCATAAATGGACCAGCGGACCACACGCACACAGAGAAGAGCAAGCACGCTAGCGAGCGAATTGGTGAATGTATTAATAAGAATACAATTTACATATATATACATGGTAAAATGTCTTAGTCATTGAGATATTTAAGAGATTAACATTAAAGCGATTAGGATGAATATACGCGTTTGCGGTAAGCAATATTCAGGCATACCAGCTCATACAATCCAGACAATAGTAAAAGCCAATGGTCCATATAGGTTGTTGCTATACAAATGGCTTAGTTAAATGAGTTAATCAAAAGGCTTAACGAATTAAAGTAGAAATAAAGTATCCTGTTCAGATCTCCAACTCTGCCTATTACAACAGAATTCATAGTGCCTGAATCTGTCCTCCATAAATGCGTAAATGTTTCAATAATTTGATGGGGCTAAAAGATGTTCAACTTATAATCGAAAGGCCGTGTGTAATCTCATTTAAGCAGTTGTCCATTCGACTCTGTGGTCAGGCTTCCAGATCGATGCAACCGTTAATAATCTGGTTTTTTTTAAGGCCCTCCAAAAAGATATATCCCTTTATGGTTCGAGAAAGTAGAAAGTGACAACAGCCTTCATACTTTTAACGACACTGGACATCCTCTCACTCACAAAGAAATCAATCTTCATATGAACTTGCATAAACAGAATACCAGTCGTTTAACAGAAGTACAATAATCTAATGTGTTCGACTGATGTTTGTTCATATGAACACATAATAGAAACATGATCAGTAGCTGGAAGAAATAGGTTTCCTTTCTCTGGCATAATAACACGCTTATTTATTTACGAATTATTAGGCACAAAAGTAAATTTTGTATACAACTGGAGGAAGGGTTATTTTGGTAGGTCACTCACTTACTGTCCAAGGAAAATTAAAATCTAGGTGTTAAATCTAATTCTTGTACTCATCAGGTCACTTCTACTAATCCCCGTCTTCTAATGAGATTAAAAAATGATTGTATACTATAGTGAGTTGATTGAAGTTAAACATGCGAATCAATCAATGGATTTCCAGCTCAATACTCTATAAGTTAATCACTCTCTCTCTGTGCAACACTGCAAGATTCTGATTTTGTTCCCGTTGAGACAAGCCATGTCTTATCATTCATCAGCCTATTATCACTACTGGAGCATCAGCCACTGACCAGCGAATTATTTTTCTGGTTAGCGTTTCTTATAGCAAGTTGGTTTTATTATGTAGGATCAGGTCGCTAACCGCATACTCAACCCTCCTCCTTTATCCGGGCTTGGGACTTGCAGTAACCCTTGAAGGACTCCAGGTGGAGTTAACTATATGCCACAATAGTTTGATAAAATGATTTTCCAACATTCACTGTCTTATTTCTTTTCATTTTCTCCTCCGTTTTTATTTGTAAATAGACAAATCTTTTTGCTTCAGCATCAAATGATGAAGAGATATTTATATGGGATATTGAAAAAATGGAACAACCAATGTCGCCTGGTGCAAAAATACAAGTAAGTTGGGGGCGGGTGGTGGGTGTGTTTCATGTATTTCTGATGATCAGAAATTGTTGATAGCAATAAGCGAAACTATTGGGGATGTTAGAACCCCTAGAACTCGCTTGATAAATGCCTTTTATTTTGATTTCACGTTTGCGAGCATGGGCTGATCAGTTGAGCTTGAGATTTCAATTCCCACCAGGAAAATCCATGGCTGTGATTGGATGCTGTGTTATTTTAGTGTGCTATTTTCGTAACTGTCCCAAGGACGTTTCTATGATGTTTAAATAAACGAGAGTTGTGTGGTTGATTGTATTGGGTGATTGCTGGGTGTTTGTAGAATATACTTTCTACGTTTACAAAGACTTTTGTTACAGCTTGGGATTTAAGGTAGCCTATCTGGACGCTGGTAATTGTCTCGTTCGGGCTTATCGACTAAGGTGAACTCGTAATAGCTTCAAGCATACCTAGTGACGAACGTAACAGAAACATATTGACTAATGTTGTCACATAAAATGATCAATATGTATGTATGTATATACTGAAGACAACTGTTGATTCCTCCTAGTTTTGGCTTTCTGCTAAATTACTCATATATCCTGTGACCATTGAGTAAGCATTGCTAGTGTTAGGAAACGGGTACTAGTTAAGGATAGCAAATCATCTGACGGAGTAGTTAATCTTCATCAGTCTAGGTGGTTGGGACTACCGACTACCACGACGTGGTATGTTTTGTGATGTAGACTGTGCTGGTTGAGATCCGCGAGACAATAGTAACTAATTATTAGAGAGCTTGAATGACGTGACTCAAAATCGTTTTCAGTGCTAATGTGGTAAGGCGACTTGAGCACTAATGTAGAGAGGTACAAACGAAGTTTTACGTTGTAACTGACTGACTGGCTGACTGCTAAATCTTATAAAGGTTCTCAATCGCTTCTCCAATCACATCCAATAAAACTTTCAATGTATATCACATGTATATCGGACCGTTGGAATTCTTTAAGCGCTTGGTTAACTCCCCGATTAATAATCAAGCAGGTGGACCCTTCCTGAGGTCCACGAGACGATAACCATTGCTTAGAGACTCTGAATGAACATGACTTGGAATCGTTTGCAATGGCGCAGGTGCATCCACTCCTTGTGTCTTTTGAAATTCTAATCTTGCGAATTCCTCATCACCTCTATCTTTCTCTATCTAAAGTTATCTCACTGAATTATACTTCTTGAATCATATCGTCGAACCCTAATCTTCTCCAATTACTGCTAATGATTCTACTATCTCTATCACTGTGGGATTTGTAGTGATAATTGCGTCTCTGTGTTAATGTGTCATGACAAATGGAAATGACGTACGTACGTACGAAGTTCTACATTGTAACTGACTGACTGACTGACTTCGCACCCTTCCTACCATATCAAGTTAAAAGTGACAAACAACCGTAAAAGTAGTTTGTTAGCCTTTGAGGTAACACAACACCATAGCCTGTGAACGACGTTTCGCGAACTCGCATCGTTTGCATTAGCTGTGCTCTGTGATAAATGAATGTGAGAAGAGTTAGTCGTGGAGATAAGAGAGGTATTAGGGAATGTAGGAAGGATTTGATTTTGAACAATTTGGTCTCATGTGCTGTTGCGGGTTGCTGTGGTATGGCAACATGAACTTATGTACATACGTACGAAGTTCTACGTTGCAACTGACTGACTGGTAGCCTGTGAACTGTATTGTTTAAACTTACTGCAGCCATTAAGAGAAAGGAAAAGTACCAGTGATTTGATTGGTCCCAAAGTAAAAAAAATTATATTTCACATGAGTTTAGCTTACAGGTTTCAGCCTTTTTTCATTACAATCTATTATTATCTTCTAATTATGCAATAAAATCCTTATTTCTCAATCTTTCTAGCCTTTAGAAAATGTTAATCAAGTTGCTTGGAATCCACGAGTGCAACATATATTATGTACAACTAATATTGGTCGTTGTGTTATATGGGATTTACGTAAAAGTGGACCAGTTTTACAACTTACTAAAACAATGTGTCAAGTAAGTTTCTATTTTCTATTGAAACACATAGTTATTAGTATAAAAAGGTAATTACTAATATTTGTGTGCGCCACCTGTGTGTGTATATGAGGTCTGAGATATTATCCGTTAACGGAGCCGAGACAGATGAATTTCTTGATTTTGACCAATTTGGTCTGGTGTGCTGTTACCGGTATGAGGGTGGTTGTCACTTCCCGTCTGCCCACACTGTTGAAGGTTGTTTATTGAGGGACCTGAAAAGGACGACAGATTAGTGTTGGTCTTAGAGACCTGGGTGCGTGACCACAGGGCCCAGAGGACAACTGCTTGAGGCCGGTCATGCACGGCCTTTTTATGAAAGGTTTTTTGAGTATTAGCTTCGCTCTTAAAGGCCCTTAGTGGGCACCCTTACCCAAGGAGACGGAAATCCGTCAGGTAAGGTGAGGTGTGGCATATTTAGGGTCGACCTTTTGTAATCCCTTCCTTTCGTTGTGTCTGAAGGCAGCATCGCTGCAGATGCTGGTTGTCCGAGGGAAACACCTCACAGCTGTCACACCCCTCTGCAGTCAGCAGTACGATTTCGCCTTCAGACCTTGAGTAGCTGCTATTAGTCAGATCGTTCTACAATCGACCTACCTGGCATGGTAGAACCTTCAGGAACATATGTTCCAGTCAATATAGCTCAGTTGAGTTATCACGATAGGCAAGCCCAACCACCGCGTCAAGGTAGCAGTTACGGTCGGGGAAACGAGTTCTAGGTAAGGATGGCAGATCAATAGATGAAGTGGTGAAACTTCATCAGTTGAGGTGGTTGGGACGTGTTACGTATGGCTAACCACCGACTGCCTCGACGAGCTATGTTTTGCAGTGTAGGAGTAGGTTGGAAGAAAGCTAGGGGCGGCCAGACCAAAACATGGCATAAATCCATGAAGTCACTGACAAGTGGACTGAGTCATGTTAGTAGATGTAGGCTACGTGATCGGGGTCCGCGAGAAGATAGTCACCGATGGTTAGAGACCTTGAACGACATGACTCAGAATCGTTTGCGATGACGCAGGTGCATCCACTCTTTGTGTTCTATGAAATTCTAAGCTTCTGCATCTCTACCATTCTCTTTCCTAATTTATCGTACTGAATTATACTTCTCGAATCATATCTTCGCTCCCTGATCTTCTCCATTACTGCTAATACTTTTACTATCGCTATCACTCTTGGATTTGAAGTGACAGTTACGTCTCTGTGTGCTGATGTGGTATGGCAACCTGAACTGATGTACTTACGTACGAAGTTCTGCGTTGTATCTGTCTGTTTGATGATTTTCTTAGGGTACTACTCTATGATCTTTCGATTTAGACGTGTGATACATAGAGCGCTGAGGAAAAGTTGGGCGATAAAATTGCTTGGTAGCCGGTGAGTGAGTGATCGGGAGTAGTACGTTCATATATTCATCATTTGTTCCAACATGATTCTCTAGCCTATGTGTAATGTTGGTTTGAAGTAAGCGTTTTTGCAACTGACCTAAATAGATGCACCGTTTCCACGAAACCGGGTCTCAGCTTAGACTGGGACACGGTCTTTTCGCTTTGGCAATTTCATCCACATCATTCTTGTTAGTGGCCTTATACTTAAGGGCAGCTAACAGACTATTTCGAGGTGAAGAACGGTGTCAGGCAAGGTTGCTTACTCTCACCCTTTCTTTTTCTCCTGGTGGTCGACTGGATTATGAAGATGTCGACATCTGGAGGGAAGCACGGTATCCAATGGACAGTTAGGACGCAGCTGGACGATCTGGACTTCACAGATGACCTGGCTCTTCTATCTCACACGTAACAACAAATGCAAGAGAAGACGACCAGTGCAGCAGTAGGTCTCAACATACATAAAGGAAAAAGCAAAATTCTCCGATACAACACAACATGCACCAACCAAACCACTCTTGATGGATATGCCTTAGAGGACGTTAACACCTTTACATATATCTGGACAGCATCATCGACAATCAAGGTGGATCCGACGCAGATGTGAGGGCACGGATTGGCTAAGCAAGGGCTGCATTTCTACAGTTGAAAAATATCTGGAACTCCAAACAACTTTCAACCAAAACCAAAATCAGGATTTTCAATACAAATGTGAAGACAGTTCTACTGTATAGAGCGGAAACTTGGCGAACTACCAAAGCCATCATCCATAAGATACAAGTATTCATTAACAGTTGTCTACGCAAAATACTTCGTATTTGTTGGCCAGACATGATCAGCAACAACGTACTGTGGGAGAGAACAAACCATATTGCAATGGAGGAGGAAATCAGGAAGAAGCGGTGGAAGTGGATATGACACACATTGCGGAAAGCACCTAACTGCGTCACTAGACAAGCCCTCACATGGAACCCTCAAGGCAAAAGGTAGAGAGGAAGGCCAAGGAACACATTACACGCCTAGAAATAGAGAAAGATATGAGAAGAATGAACAAACATTGGATAGAACTGGAGACGGAAGCCCAGGACAGAGTTGGTTGGAGGCGAAAACTGGTTGGGCGGCCTATGCTCCTCTATTGGGGGTAACAAGCGTAAGTAAGTAAGTATGTAATAGTGAAATTGTTTATTAAAAGTGTAATTGTTTTTTTTGGGGGAATCGATCAATGCACGAACTTACACTATTGTTTTCTTCTGTCACTATTATAATTCACTTATTATGGTTTCTATTTTTGTGTAATGCTTATTTGTGTAAGATTGATTATTGATTGTTTTACCGAAAAAATAAACGAATATTATTACAAATTGAGCAAATTACATTTACTGGAAAAATTGATCTGATTGTGTTGTGTGCATTTTGCCACATTTAGAAATATGTACTTTTAAAGAATGTCGAATCGAAAAAAAATCTCAGCCTATGAAATTGAATGACACAGATCGTAAGTTAGTTAGTCAGTCAGTTACAACGTGGGGTCCGCGAGATGATAATAATCGATGGTTAGATACCCTGAATGACATGGGTCAAAATCGTTTGCAATGGCGCAAGTGCATCCATTCCATTGTGCGCTCTTAAATCCTATTCTTCTGGGATTGTCTGCACCTCTACCTTTGTCTTTCTAACCTTATCTCATTGAATTATACTTCCTGAATAATATCTTCGAACCCTAGTCTTCTTTATTACCATTAATACCTATACTATCTTTATCACTATGGGATTTGATTTGACATTTGCGTCTCTGTGCTAATGTGGTATGGCAACATGAACTTACGTACATACGCACGAAGTTCTACGTTGCAACTGACTGACTGACTGACTGACAGTTACAACGTAGAGCATTGTATGTACGTATATATTAGTTGAGGTTGCTATGGCACACATTAGCACAGAGACGCAACTGTCAGTTCAAATCTCATAGTGGTAGCGCTAGTAGAAGTATTAGCAGTAATGGAGAAGATTAGGGAGTGAAGATATGATTCGAGAAGTATAATACAGTGAGATAAATTTAAAAAGTGAAAGTTATAGATGATGAGGAATTCAGGAGGTTAGAATTTGAGAGAACACAATAAATGAAAGCACCTGCGCCATCGGAAACGTTTCTGAGCCATGTTGTTCAAGGTCTCCAACAGCTGGTGACTTTCGTCTCACGGACCCCAACCAAGTAGACACAGATCTTAATCGCACAGGTTGTATCATTCTCTTTATGTTTGTAAGTAAAATTTGATGATCAGTTGTAATTAGTACGAAACTTATACCCAGCTAGCGTTTTCTAATCATTTAACATAAGAGATGAGTTCAGTTCGTTGTGAAAAAATCGTTAGTCAAGTTAATTTCCAAAGTCACATTCTCAAGTGATTTCGAATTGTGACGTATAAGGAATCACGATACCCGGAGCTACTCTAGGGCTACTGCCAGTTTTAAGCCTGGATAAAGAAGGAGAGTAGGGCGCGACCCCATCCCGTCGAAAAACGTAAGCACTAAACAAAACGCTATCCAGAAAAAAAAATAATTCAAAACATTTAAACTCTACCATAAGATTTTTTTAAGTTCTTCATTTAGAAGAGTCATTATGGCATCTCTTGATGAAAGCCAAGTTCTTTCGAAAGTCACCAATCCGATGCTCATTTTGACAATCAGAGCATGGAATGAGATTTCTTTCAGAAATCATGAATCGATTGATATTAGAAACCTAGAAAAACTGTTTAAACGGCCGTTTCCATCTGGCATTAGACTCCTCGGCAGTGCGCATCTACGACTCCCACTACTCATATAATTCGAATCCAAGAGAGATCTTGCTCACAAACACCGAACCTCTGAATCACTGACCTGATATCTAACATTCTTAATATCTGAAATCATCAATCAAACATTGTTAGACCACCATTAGAAACCTGGAAGCACTGGACAGCCGTTTGAGAAGACGTGACCAATGGAGTTCAACCCTGTCGGGTGTAGGCAGTAACTACCAAAGACAAATGGGTGAGGTCGCGCAAAATTCGTAGATCACTCAGAGTTAGACATTAACATCGTTGGATGCCGGCCCAGTGGTCCGATGGTAAGGCGTCCGCCTACAATGCCAAAGGTCCCGGGTTCGAATCCTGCGAGGTGCAGGAGTCGTGGATGCGCACTGCTGATGAGTCCCATACCAGGACGAAACGGCCATCCAGTGCTTCCAGGTTTCTAATGGTGGTGGTCTAACAATGATTGATTGATGATTTCAAATGTGTGAAAAAACGCAAACCTCCAAAACTCTGCCCTAAAATATTCTTAATATCATTCATTTTCTATATACATCTATCTATAGTTAGAACCACAAATGATGGCATGGAGTCCTACAATTGCAACTCGTTTATGCTTAACTGATCCAAATAATCCAAATGGTCATGTCCAATTGTGGGATTTACGTTATCCAAAACATATGCTTTGTTTGCTAAGTCATTGGCCACCACCTCTATCATCTACATTAGGCAATACTGGTACAGTCAATGCATTATATTGGGGTATACCAGATACTTGTACAAAATCACAACTTATCAATAAATCCAATTTGTATGATCATGATATGATTTTACTGTTGATTGGTGCTACTGGTAGTACATTACCAGCTATAAATGATGGTCATTTTAGTTCAAAATTCAATCCAATCTATGCTGAATTCTTAACTGTATGGAGTGTTGATCAAGCATTGAATAATAATAATAATAATAGTCATTCTACAACAATGGAGACTAATATTCATGGTAGTGGTGTATTTGAACAAAGTTAGTTTGGTTTGGTTACTTTAATTTGTCTATTTATGTGAAAATAATATGTTGAACTTGGTTATTTTAATAACAATCATCAATCCAATCATCAAATTAATAGCAACGTAGAACTTCGTATGTACGTACGTGCGTACGTGTAAGTACATTAGTTCATGTTGCCTTACCACAGAGACGCAATTGTCAATTTCTTACGCCTGCACGCAAACACGTCAGCTTGATATACTTGAATTATTATGAGAGCCAGGATTGAGGATCCGGTGACACGACATGCTACTGAAATCCGATTATCCAAACCCCCATATTGAGTAAAAATATGACAAGACTTGAAATGAAGTAGAACCTATATTCTACAAGCATCAAGAAAGTACGAGGTCCGAATCCAGAAGAGAATCAGGATCCCGGGCTAGGGATCCGGGACCGAGCCCTGGTTGTGGTCGTGGTCAATAAACGTTACAGATAATGCGTATTTATACATTTTGGACGAATAGGAAACAGCATCGAATTCTGTAACATTGACAGTTAAAACGTCCAATAGGAAGCAACATTTGGAATGACATTGATAGTAAGGACAACCAATAAGAAACAACATTGGAGCACGTGACATTGATATCTAGGACGACCATAAAATTGACTAGTAGGAATTAACCAATAGGATTTGACCAATAATTCTTTTAGGATATTGGATGAATATCCTAACACAATTCGATTCCCATAGTGGTAGAGATAGTAGAAGAATTATTACTAATGGAGATTAGTATTTGAAGGTAATATTCAAGAATTATAATTCAGTGAGTTAAGTTTAGAAAGATTGTAGTGTGCCGATTTGCTGCATGTTCTAAAGCTTGGTAATTCACTCGTCTAGACAGTCGTTACTAACTAGCTTCTGACGGTTTATAAATCAGAAGGTGAACACAAAGTATTGAATACGTTTATTTGGGACACACCACAAAGCGGAACGGAGAAGCAGTGAATAGAACGAAAGAAGCGACGTGAATTGGAGAAGGCTGTTGAGCCAACTCCCAGGATTACAATGCGAACGAATAGTCGAAGCGCGTTGGAGAAGGCTTATGAGCCTACTCCTTGGGGACGGTAGTTCAACCCTGTCGGGCAGTAACTACCAAAGTCAAATAGGTGAGGTCGCTCAAAATCCGTAGATCAATCAGTTAGACATTATCGCCATTGAATGCCGGGCCTGTGGTCCGATGGTTAGGCGTTCGCGTACAATACTGAAGGCCCCGGGTTCGAATCCTGCGAGGTGCAGGAGTCGTGGCTGCGCACTGCTGATGAGCCCCATACCAGGACGAAACGGCCGTCCAGTGCTTTCAGGTTTCTAATGGTGGTCTAACAATGATTGATTGATGATTTCAAATGTGTAAAAGACACAAATCTCCAACCCACATCGCATGAGGTTTACGAGCAGTCTGCTTCGTTCTTGCCAACCGTTGGTGACTTTAGTCTCACGGACCCCAAACATGTAGCCTACATCACCGTCCTAATTGCATTGGCTCTCCGGAATGTTGAAAAGCCACACCCAGTGAAACCGGTTACCCAGCAAATATATGTATAAATATCTAAATGAATAATACATCATAAAATGTACTCACTAGTGACTAGCTTCATGAGGAAGGACATTCTCGGAGTTCTAAGTAAGAAAACGTGACTGGTGGAGTTCAACCCTGTTCATGGTGTGAAGCACTACTGACCGAAGACAGTAGATGAGGTTGCGCAAAGTACTCAGAGTGGTCAGAGTTAGTCATTAACATTGTTAAATGACGTTTAGTGGTTTTCAAGTAAGGCTTATTTTGTGACGCAGATAGGTACTTTCCTATTCACTTCCAGTTTTTCTTCTTAATTTCTTCCTGTGCCAGAATCTGGTTTGTTCTCTCCCCCACCTAGTAGTAGGTTGCTGCTGATAGTGTCTTGCCAACGAATCCGAGGTATTTTGCGTAGATAATCGTTATCCTACTCCTAACTTGTACTTTCACACACAATTCTGTATGGTGACGTAATATTAATCTCTTTATTTCATTGTGATTATTGACTCACAGTCAATTGCCTTTGATATGAGTTTAACATTTTTATTGATAAAAAAAATATTTGTATTACGGGGTTGTGAAGGTTGTTAAGTTACACATTTTTGGAACCATACATCGATCAATGTTAGATCACCATTAGAAACCTGGAGGCACTGGACGACCGTTTCTTCCTGGTACGGGACTTCTCAGCAGTGCGCATCTACGTCTCCTGCACCCCGCAGGATTCGAACCCTGGACCTTCGGTTTTGTAGGCGATATGCACTGCTGAGGAGTAGTCCCATACCGGGACGAAACGGCCGTCCAGTGCTTCCAGGTTTCTAATGATGGTCTAAAATTGATCTATTCATGGTTTCAAAAAAAAATGTGTGACTTAACAATCTTCACAAACACCGTAATGCAAATTACCTGTGCTCACTAGTGACTAGCTTCGTGAGGAATCTTCTCCGAGTTCTAGTGGGAAGACGTGACCACCAGTGAAGTTCAACCTGTTCGGGTGTAGGCAGCTTCTACCGAAAACTGTGTATGAGGTTGCGTAACTCCGTGAATTGATCAAGTTAGACATTCACACCGTTAGATACCACCGGCTCAGTTGTCCGATGGTTAGGCGTTCGCTAACAGTACCGAAGGTCCTGGATTCGAATCCTGCGGGGTGCAGGAGTCGTGGATGCGGACTGCTGAGCAGTCAGTCCCATACCAGGACGAAACGGCCGTCTTTCAGTGCTTCCAGGTTTCTAATGGTGGTGGTCTAACATTGATCGATTCATGGTTTCAAAAATGTATAAAAATGAATATTCACGTTCACTTTCTGGTCCTTTTTTAATAGATAATAATAATCCAACTACCCCACAGCCAATATTTATTAGTCGTTTAGAAGGTTTCAATGATCAAGAATTAGCTAATCCATTCACATCTTGTTACAATACATCATTGCCATCGAATGCATCTGTTCAATGGATACCGAATTATCCGAATTTAGTATGTGTCACACAATCGGATGGTTGGATTACTGTGTTAAATTTATCAAGTGGTTTAATAAATAAACAAACTGAACCAGTGAATATTGAACGATACACAAAACAATGTGTATTGGCGCGAAATTCTTCAAGTCTAGGAAATTCGCATAAAGTAGCTGAAGCATTTGATAATGCTGTTGATGATGATGATGATGATGATGGTGTTGATGGTGAACGGTCGTTGATTACTTTCAGTCATACTACTACTAATGATAATATCAGTAGTATTCAATCGATGACAAATATTCAATCGGATACATTATATCCTGTTTTAATGAATGGTGAAAATGTGAATGATATGATTGATCTGAGACTAGACCAATTAGGATTAAATGAACGAGATCATGTGAATTCAATTAGTCTTTCATTGCCTCAAGTAAGTTTTGAATGGTATATATATGGTATGATATGATATGGTCGTCAATCGATATGCCTGAAACTATTACGAGTTCATCTTACTTGGTAAACTAGAGTGAAGACAAATGATCGAGTAACACGATAGGCTATTCTGATTCGATTGTCATCGAACCTGTGCTATACGATATCAAATCTCAGTGAAGGAATGGGCTAGAAAATATAGACCTTAACAATGTTACACTTCACCTTACTTTACGGGTTTCTGTCTACAGCTATAAGACCACTTACAGACAGAGCGGAGCTAACATTTTACAAACTTTCCTATAAAACGGAGGTGTGTAACCTGCCTCAAGCAATTGTCCTTTGGGTTCTGCGGTCATGCTTTTAGGTCGCTAAGACCAACGCTAATACGGTTGTCTTTTCAGGTTCCTCAAGGTGCACCGTTCGATGGTGTGGGCATCTGGGCAGCGAAATCCACTCTCATACTCCTATGAGCACACGAGACAACATTGGTCACAATCAAATCCTTCCTACAACTAATAACCCTATTATCTCCTTGACTAGCCCCCCTCTCGCACAATACTTAATCACTTGGCGCCGCTGCTGCAAATATTTCGAGTACACGAAACATTCTTGTTGGTGATCGAATGTTACTGGTTTAGTTGTAACGTCCTTATTGCCTTGAAATCGTTTACACTAGATTGAAACATTAGGTGGTGGTTGGAAGTAGTAGTGTGGTGCGCGCTACTTATAAGTAGTATATGACGCGAGTGAAAACGTAATGTCTGGCAGCAGAAGATGGGGGAAGATCAAGAAAGGAAGAGTTAGAACACAATGGAATTTGTATGAAACGCATGAATAGTGAAATGTCAGACAATGGATTGATGATGGATTGAAGATTTGCAAATTAACCGTTTACGATATGGTTTTCCTATTTTACTGAGTAACTCAGTAATTTTCGTTAAATACAATTCGGTTGCCCTCACCTGTGTTCTCCTTCACTACAGTAGTAGTCCATCGAAAATCCTGTTGTACCTAGGTTTCATGCTTCTTTGCCATCTGTCAACAAGTCGTCGCTTTAGGGAACTGATACTCTCTAGCCAATTCGATCTCATATCACACTCAGTTTCACAGTTAGAGCTATTAAAGTCTCTCTTGACTTAAAAAATTGAGGCATACTTACAATCGCTTATTTATTGATTGGTGACAAGGAGTATCACTTCTTTCGACGTTACACGTACACTTTTCTGACGAGTAGCAAATAGCATTAAACTCAATTCCATTGTTTCCTGTAAACCTACCTCTAACTATTACATAACCAGGCTTGAATCGATGAAATTACTGATACAAATTCTATGGAAAATTATATGCTCACTACACAATAACAACCAATCACGATCGAGGTCAACAGGATAAGTTACGTGTGAAGAATTTTGAATACTTCACTCCTACTGGAAGTTTACACTGATGATGTTATTCAAAAACGCCACAACCAAAACATACAACTCTCGAAGAACGAAACTCCACTACAATTATCTTACTTACTACTATTGTAGTGAAAGAGAACACAGGTGGGGCAACCGAATTGTATTTAACGAAAGTTACAGAGTTACTCAGTAAAATCGGAAAACCGTATCGTAAATCGTTCATTTGCAAAATATCAGTTCATCATATCGAACTGGACTGTTCCTGTTGCAAAACATCAGCGATTCATTGTCACTATTCATGCGTTTCATACAAATTCCATTGTGTTCTAAATCTTCCTTTCTTGATCTTCCCCCAAATTATGCTGCCAGACATTACGTTGACACTCACGTCATATACTACTTATAAGTAGCTCGCACTACAGCACCACACTATGTTTAACTTAAGTATGTTATGCCATCATTGGTGAAAGTGTTTTTGCCACGAAATATGAAAATGTTGATTGATTTTTAACGAACACATCTCTTCTCTTATTTCGATGTGATCATCATATTTTTTTTTTGCTAATTTTAGCCTATGCCATTATTACGTACTGCACCAATTTGGTTAAAGCGTCCATGTGGTGTACATTTCGCTGTAAGTTGTATGTATATATATGTTACGTTTCTTATAATGTTATTTTGACCTTACAAAATTATTTATCTGAAGATTGTAATGGAACAAATAACCTTTGAACATATTGTTTTGTCCACTGTCTAACATGAGACTGCATCTGCTGATATCAATGGTCCTAAGCTTCATTGTGGATTAGATCGCTAGTTAAACAAAGGCTGAAGATGTGAACTCCAACTGCTTCTGTTTTAGGCATAGGGACAGTTTTTTTTTCAGTCAGTCAGCTAACCAGCTGATAAATAAACAATTCTTCTTTTTATCCGGTGACTTGCATTTTGTGTGTGTGTGTGTGTACAACAGTTTTCTTCTAACAGTTGAGTAAGTTAATTGATCAGTCTCTTTGCTAATGGGATAAGTACATCCTAAATGGATTGTCAACATGTTAACAACATTTCGTCATGTGTTTCATAATGACAAATGGTTTTAATCTGATCAACATGTTTCATCGGATGTACATCGCTGCCATTAGGAAACGAGTTCTAGGTAGGGATGGCAAATCAATAGATGAAGTAGTGAAACTTCATCAGTTAAGGTGGTTAGGATATGTGTTACGTATGCCTAACCACCGACTGCCGCGACAAGCCATGTTTTGTGGTGTAGGAGTGGGTTGGAAGAATGCTAGTGGTGTCCAAACCAAAACATGGCACAAATCCTTGAAGTCATTGACAAGTGGACTGACTCATGTTGGTAGATGTAGGCTATCCGGTTGGGGTCCGCGAGACGAAAGTCACCAATGGTTAGAGACCTTGAACGACATGGCTCAGAATCGTTTGTAATGGCGCAGGTGCATCCACTCTTTGTGTCCTCTCTAATTCTGACCTGAATTCCTCATCATCTCTATATTTCTCCTTCTAAATTTATCTCACTGAATTATAGTTCTCGAATAATATCTTGACTCCCTAATCTTCTCCATTACTGCTAATACTTCTATTATTGCTATCACTCTTGAATTTGAACTCACAGTTGCATCTGTGTGCTGATGTGGTATGGCAACCTGAACTGATGTATGTGCGTACAAAGTTCTACGTTGTATCTGTTTGTTTGTCTGTCTGATGTACACCGCTTCTCAGCTATACTGAATGTCCTCTGTGTTCATCATATTTCCACGGACACTTGTATCTTAGTACTGTTTTGCACTTGAAATGCATTGTTCGTTGATTGCTGAATACAGATAAATAATTACCTAAGGAACAAGTTTAAAGTAGCAAGGTGGTAGGTAATTTATCAATGAGAGAACACAAAGAGTAGATGCACCGGCACCATTGCAAACGATTTTGAGCCATGTCATTCAGGATCCCTAACCATCGATTACTAACATTTCGCGGACCCCAACCAGACAATCCACAACTACTGACATGACTCAGTCCAGTTTTTAGTGACTTCATGGATTTGTGCCATGTTTTGGTCTAGCCGCTCCTAGCTTTAGTCTAACCTACTCCTACACTACAAAATATAGCTTGACGAGTCAGTCGATGGTTAGCCATACGTAACACATGTTTCAACGAGCTCAACTGATCAAGTTTCAATGCTTCATCTATTGCTTTGCCATCCTTAGCTTGAACTCGTTTCCTAATAACAGCAATGCTCACTTGTGTGTCCCACGACCCCTGAGCAATGCTTCGGAGGCACACATGATCGAAAACCAGTAGCCTATAGATATCTTTTTCTCTCACTGGCCATGGTTCACAGCCATATAGTATGACGGAGCGAACTACTGCACAGTACACTCGTCCTTTAGTCAGCGAATGGATATCTCGCTTTCTCCATAAGTGGGGCCGGTTGGCAAAAGCCAATCAAGCAATCGGTAGATAAAGTAGTTTCACTGCACTAAGTGTTATTTTATTTTTAATCAAAAAAGCAAAACTTAACTGACTGCATTTGTATCATATTTTCTTGTTTAGTTTGGTGGACGACTTGTGACTTTTTCATCTCACCTAAATCATCATCATCATTCAAAACGTACTCGTACAACTAGTTCCATGAGTAATAACAATAGTAATGCAAAACATACTGAACACCACCACCATCACCATCTAAACAAATCATCATCATCAGATATTGGCCATAATATTCAACATCAACATCAACATCATCACGATTCAACAACAGTAACACCTCCGACGTCATTATCGTCAGATCAACATCATTTAAATTCATCAAATGAAATCAATCCATCCAATCGCGTTTGTATCCAATGGATTGGTCTACTTCAACTGGAGCCATCAACATTATCATCATCATCATCGTCAGCAGAGCTAAATCCTTCTTCTTCTCTGAATAATAATAATAATAATAATAATAGCGATGATATGATTTATGAATTAAATGTTCCATGGAAGCATTCATTTGAAGCAATTATTCAATGTTTTATCAATGTGATTAATTGTTCTGATGAATATTTAAGTGGTATTTGTGAAAATGCTCAAAATTTATTCAATCCAATGCTTGATAATACTACTAGTACTACTACTAATAATCATGATGATAGTAGTAATAATAATAATAATAATAGTGATCGAAATTATTTGAATTTATGGAATGTCATTCAAGTAAGTTTATATTTTTGTAACTTAATTCATTGATGCCCTACTATTAGAGAGAGAGAGAGATGAGATGAGAGGAGAATAGGATGGAAGAAGAAGGTTAGTAGGTGGCAGCCAGACTAAATCATTTTTTTGATTTGATTTTGACCAATTTGGTCTGGTGTGCTGTTACGGATATGAGGGTGGTTGTCGATTCCCGGCTGCCCACACCGTGGAAGGTTGTTTCTTGAGGGACCTGAAAAGGAAGATAGATTAGTGTTGGTGTTGGAGATCTGGGAGCGTGACCGCAGAGCCCAAGGGACAACTGCTTCAGGCCGGTCACGCACGGCCTTTTTATGAAAGGTTTTTTGAGTATTAGATCCGCTCTTAAAGGCCCTTAGTGGGCACCGTTACAGCTGGAGACGGAAATCCGTGAGGTAGGGTGAGGTGTGACATTTCCAGGGTCGACCTTTTCTAACCCTTCCTTCCTTGTGAGAAGGCAGCATCGCTACAGATGCTGGTTGTCCGAGGGAAACACTTTACTGCTGTCACACCCCTCTTTAGTCAGTCAGCAGTACGACTTCGCCCTGAGACGTTGAGTAGCTGGTTTTAGTCTGATCGTTCTGCAATCGACCTGCCTGGCATGGTAGAACGTTCAGGAACATATGTTCCAGCCAATTTAGGTCGGTTGGGTCATGACGATAGGCAAGCCCGACCACCACGTCAAAGTAGCAGCTACCACAAATCCGTTCAACCAAATGACTGCTGGACTGAATCGTGTTATTGGATGTAGACTAATATGTGGTTGGAGTCCCCAGGAGACAAATAGTAACCGATGGGTTGAGACTTTGAGTGATACTCCTGAAAATTTTTTGAAATGGCGCAGGTGCATTCATCCGTACAATGTGTTCTTTCAAATTCTAATGTGAATTCCACCTGACCTTATTTCTCTTTTCTTTTAACGGATTCCTCTGCGCTATACAACTCGATGGATATATATTGTATCATTAATCTTTTTGATTATTGCTAATACTTCTATTATCTCTACTAATATGAGATTCGAACTGACAGTTGGGTCTCTGTGTGCTAATGCTGCGTTATGGCAAGTTGAACTGATGTACATACTACGTACGAAGTTCTACATTGTCACTGACTGACCGACTGATCTGTGTTGTCCAGTTGTAAGTTAGTGGGTTTAGTATTGTGAAAACGATTGAATTTCATTAACATGCCGAACTGATTTAAGCTGGATGACCGTTAGAGAAACGTGAGAGCACTATGAGGTTTATTTTGTCCCCAGTATAAGGACCGTTGTTGTAGTGGTACTTAGACGCAAAATATTCGATCTCGCGCGCAACTGATTAATCTTTAGACTATTGAGCCTGCATCTAATGATGTAAAACTGTACAGTTTCAGTCATTCCTTGAATTTGTACAACCCTACATCCATTTTCTGTGGCGGTCTTCCAGCCGACATTGATTGAGCTCTAGTTCATGATATCAGTCATAATGCAGTCAATAATGAATATCCTTTGTCAGGAACAATAATGTACTAGATTTAAAGATGAATTCCTGGAGTTCTGGTACGAAACGGTGACCCGTGGAATTCTATCAGTCTCAGCTCGGAGACAGATCCATTACTAACCGATGACAATCGAAATTATCAGAATTTTATGGAATGCAATACGAAAATGTTTAGATTGCTGTTAATAATTTGTTGTTTGTGATTACGTCATAATGATTCATTGATATCTACTATTAGAGAGGAGAGGTGAATAGGCTGGACTAAGAAAGCTAGTTGGCGGTTAGATGAAAACATGGCACAAATCCATGAAGTCACTAACTACTGGACTGAACCCTCTGTGTAGATGTAGATTACTGCTTGTTTATGGTCCAGGAGATAAATAGTAACTGATGATTGCAGACTTTGTATGATATGGCTGAAATTAGTTTGTCATGGCACAGATGCATCCATCTTCTGAACTCCTCATGACCTTCATCTTTCTCGTCTCAAATCTATTTCACTGATTTAAACTTCTTGAATGATATCTTCGAACCGTAATCTTCTCCATTACCACTAATACTTCTACCGCCTCTACTACTATGGGATTTGTATTGACAATCGTGTCTTTTGCACATTTGAAATCGCCGTTAGATGCCGGCCCAGTGGTCCAATGGTTAGGCGTTCGCGCACGATACTGAAAGTCCCGGATTCGAATCCTGAGAGATGCAGGTGTCGTGAATACGCACTGCTGATGAGTCCCATACCAGCACGAAACGACCGTCCAGTGCCTCCAGGTTTCTAATGGTGGTCTAACAATGATTGATTGATGATTTCAAATGTGTAAAAATACTAATCTCCATAACTCTAATTGAAAATTGTATCTTTGTACTACCATGGCATGACAACTTGATTTGATATGGACGTACTTACGAAGTTGTACGTTGTAGCTGACTGACTGACCATTACTACTTACCTACGCCTGTTACTCGTAAAGGAGAATATGCCAACGATCAACGAATGAGTTTTACAAGATTAGGGTCACTAACCGTTCGTTGCACAAATAAATATTGTTTATTTTTGTTGAGAATTCTTCGGCTAATCTTATATATATCCTGAATTTTTAAATTTGTTTTCGATTCAATATAGGCTCGTTTAGATAAATCCAATTCAGTAAAATCATCATTATCCAGTTTGTTGGGTTATAGGAAACAAGAATTTCAAGGTGAGTACTTCTCTTTTTTTTTCAATAAACTAATTATGTAGTCTAAATTAAATTAAGACAAGTTATGAGGTAAATCAGTCACGTAATTTTTGTTGTAGTCAATTGACTATAGTGATTGCATCGTATTTTAAAGGAATGCTAAATTACTGTTGTTTAGTCTTAGTATAGGACTCATCAACTGTGCTCGCATCTACAAGTCCCGCTACTCGCAGAAATCGGGGCCAGGACCTTTCAGTCTCCTGCGCAAACCCCTAGCCTCTAGACCAATAAGCAGACATTCGACGATGTTCATGTCTCTAAATTCGATCAATCCACGGCTTTGCGCAACCTCATCCACTGACTTCGATGGTCACAGCTTTGTAATCGATAAGGTTGAACTCTACTAGTTACGACTTTTCAGTAAAACTTTCCTAACGCATCTAGCTAGTCACTATTGAGCGTATTATGATTTCCATTACAGGGTTATGGAGATTGAAATCATGAACTGATCAATGTTAGACTATCATTAAATAGATACTTGAAAGCACTGTTTAGACGGCCATTTCGTCCTAATTTAAAACTTATGAACCACACTCGAATCTCCAATCTCCACTGCTGATAAATCCCATACTGATATGAAACAGCCTTTCAGTGCTCACCGGTTTCTAATGATGGTCTTACATTGATCGATTCATGATTTCAATTCCATTGTCTTAAGACTCTGTGTGTGTCGAGCCCAGAGAAAATTTGTCCGAGTCTTTGAATAAACTAACTAATTCATTCTTTCTGAGTCGTTATTCACATGTCTTTCGATCTTGTCAATCATCATTCTCTCATAACCTTGATCGTGTTTCTATTCGAGAATGTGTGTGCGCATAGTAGCTTCGCTTATCACATGTCCAGCTTATTTTTATTGTACTCTAAATAGTTAGTCATACCTTGTTTGTTACATTGAGTAAGCTCAATTGACTTCTCATTTGGATTTGCTTAGCTTTCGCGCTGTAGATTCTCATGTCTATCTGCGTGAACGATTGTCTGAAATAAACTCATTCAACTGAACCCTGTCACACAAACGGGGTGTAGGATTTAATTTGTCCTACAGATGAACTTCTATAGAACTATAAACGCAATATTAGCGAGCACCAGAGTCTATGGAAAAGCTATAGAGTCAGAAGAACAAGACCAATTTTGCTTTAAACTTTATCTGTTTCTAAACATAAAAACAATTAGACTAGTACAATAAATAAGGAAATTACATTTATCAAGTAAGACGAACAAATGTACCGACCAATATAGCATGAAGTTATGAGTCGCCTCAATATAATAAGATAATAATGTCCTTCAATTTGTAGAGGTCATTTAATACAAAGAAGGTTTACAGACACGTCAGATCAGATCACGTGATGGATGGTCGCCTAAACCACAATTTGATTGGTTAGTTAGTTATGGAAATAACTAACACGGGGTTCACCTAATTATAGTTTATGGAAACTGATGCGTAGATTTATTTCATAGTATATTTATATCGGGTCATGGCAGAAATCCATGAAGTCATTGACGAGTGGACTTAGCCATGTCAGTAATTGTCGACTACCTGGTTGGGGTCCGCGAGATGATAATAATCCATGGTTAGAGACCTTGAATGACATGGCTCAAAATCGTTCGCAATGGCGCTAGTGCATTTATTCTCTGTGTTCTCTCAAATCCTAATCTTCTGGATTCTTCAACCCTTCTATCTTTCTCTTCCTAAATTTATCTCACTGAATCATACTTCTTGAATAATATCTTCTAATCCTAACCTCTCCGATTACTTCTAATACCTTTACCTACCTCTACTAATATTGGATTTGAATTGACAATCATATCTCTGTGCTGATGTGGTATGGCAACATGAACTGATGTAGTTACGTACGAAGTTCTACGTTGCATCTGACTGACTGACTATGTCGGTTCATGGGCTACCAAATTAGTAATCCCGACATTGAATCGATTACCGTCACAAATCGATCACACATTTACAATCGTATTGCATATTTTTAAATTGAGAAATTCAATAACAGGTGATATATTACTTGCTTTTATTTGTAAACATAATTTTTTTCCTTAGATTTCAATGACTTGACATTCTGTCAATTATTGGATGCGTTGAAATATGCACTGGTTATGAATGATGCTGAAACTGTTATCCAGCTATGCATGCATCCGTAAGCTGATATTAGTTATGCTTTCCTTGTTTTTGGTTGCGTGTTTTTTTCACATGCATACATACATACAAGTACCATGTGATTGGTTGAATGTGTTTGTATTTTCTGCGTAGAAAAATGCTCTATTGGTTGAAAAGTGAATTTTAGATTCTGAGGAAAAAGCACCCTATTGGTTGAAATGTGGCTTTGGTTCCTGAAGAAAAAAAATACGCTATTGGTTAAGAAGTGACTTTGTTTTCTGTCAGCAGAGATGTATATTTAAGAGCGTCAGTCAGTCAGTCAGTCAATAATTTGCAACGTAGAACTTCGTACGTATGTACGTAAGTTCATGTTGCCATACCACATTAGCACAGAGACGCAAATGTGAAATCAAATCCCCCATATTGATAGAGATAGTAGAGGTATTAATGATAATGAAGAAGACTAGGGTTCGAAGATATTATTCAAGAAGTATAATTCAGCAGGAGACCAGAAATGACGTTTCGTGTACTCGCATCGTTTGCATTAGCTGTGCAGATTTATAAAGGTATGTGAGAAGAGTTAGTCGTGGAGATAAGTGAGTTATTTGGGGGTGTAGGAAGGATTTGATTTTGACCAATTTGGTCTCGTGTGCTGTTACGGGTATGAGGGCGGTTGTCGATTCCCGGCTGCCCGCACCGTGGAAGGGTGTTTCTTGAGGAACCTGAAAACGAAGATAGATTAGTGTTGGTCTTAGAGACCTGGGAGCGTGACCGCTGAGTCCAAGGGACAACTGCTTGATGCCGGTCACGCACGGCCATTTTATGAAAGGTTTTTTGAGTATTAGCTCCGCTCTTAAGGGCCCTTAGTGGGCAGTCACCCTTAGCGCCGGAGACGGAGATCCGTGAGGTAGGGTGAGGTGTGTTATTTTTAGGGTCGACCTCTTCTAACCCTTCCTTCCTTGTGATGAGAAGGCAGCATCGCTGCAGATGCTGCTTGTTGTCCGACGGAAACACCTTACTGCTGCTGTCACACCCCTCTACCGTCAGTTAGCAGTACGACTTTGCCCTCAGACGTTGAGTGGCTGCTTTTAGTCTCATCGTTCTCCAATCGACCTACCTGGCTTTGTAGAACCTTCGGGAACATATGTTGCAGCTAATATAGCTCGGTTATGAAGATAGTCAAGCCCAACCACCACGTCCAGATAGCAGCTTCGGTCAGGATATTTACGAGTGAGTGTATTTATATTCTGGATTTCAATTCAAACAGTGAACTATGCTTCCAAATGAAGTAGCAAGTCGAGCTCATTTTATGAGTGATTTAACCGTGCTGTGTGCTGTATATGATACTGATACAACATGAAATCATCTGAGGACATGCAGTCGTATGCTAATTGGTATAACTAACATGGAAGAAATCCATGAAGTCATTGACGAGTGGACTTATCCATGTCGGTAATTGTCGACAACCTGGTTGGGGTACGCGAGATGATAATAATCGATGGTTAGAGATCCTGAATGACATGGCTCAAAATCGTTCGCAATGGCGCCGGTGCATTGATTCTTTGTGTTCTCTCTAATCCTAATCTTCTGGATTCGTCAACCCCTTCTAGTTTTGACTTTCTCACTGAATCATACTTCTTGAATAATATCTTCTATTCCCAACCTCTCCGATTCCTTCTAATACCTTAGGCATGGCAACATGAACTGATGTACTTACGTACGAAGTTCAACGTTGCATCTGACTAACTGACTGACTGATTCATAATTTCAACCATTAACAGCAATCTCCATTACACTCTATAATAGAAAAAAACTGTGTTTTTTGAATTTTTTTCTTTTCATAGTAAACTCGCATCAATCTCTTTGCCAAATCTATCGACATTAAACATTTTCGCTTTAATGTTATCTACTACTACTGCTCCTACTACTAATACTACTACTGATTCAACTTCAACTCGATTCAATCAACCCGAATTATATGATACAGTTAGAATGAAATTAGCTCATCAATTTCATGAAATCTCATTACAATTACAAAGTACTAATAGTAGTACAATAATGCATGATGAACCAATCCATTTGAAATCCATTTTATTATTATTACTTAATATTGGTTGTGGTGGTGTTGTTGTTGCGTCCGAGTTTGCACAAACCGCCTGGTTCAATCTTATTGAACATTGGCCATTGAATGATTGGACAAGTATATTAACAGTAATGATTAATTATTTATTAGATAAAAATAATGAATTATGCAGAAAATTATGCTGTAAGTTATTATTATTATTATTATGATTGTTATTATTTTGTATGTATTATTATTGGGCCTCGTCAGTTAGTATGCTTGAAGCTCTATTATTGTGGTGTGTGCTACTTATACACGAACGATATAAGTAGTATAAGAAGGGACGTGAAAGAAGAAGAAGTCTCACGGTCACAAGAGGAAAACGGAAAGCAAATGGAGCAACAGCAAGAAGTAAATGGAGTACCAACAGGAAGGAAAGGAAGCAACAACAGGAATCGAAGAAGAAGGATGGAGTGTTGGAAGTCAGGACTCAAAGATGGTGTGCAAATAGAGTGTGTTCAATGTAATGTTTTCGTTTTTAATTGACTAAGAGTGTAAATTTGCATAATACAATCTTTCGCGCTTGCCCCAGTCTTCTCATTACGAGTTTACTTTAGTCGATAAACGCGAACGAGACAATGAACCAGCGTCCAGGTAAGGCTACCTTGAATCCGCGGGCTGAAGTAAAAAGGCTTTGTAAGCGTAGAAAGGTATATTCTACAAACACCCAGCAATCACAATCAATTACAATCAAGCATACAACTCTCGTTTATTTATTACATCATAGAACTGTCCTAGTGGGACAGTTAAGAAAATAGCACACTAAAATATACAGTAATCAATCACAGCTATGGATTTTCCTGGTGGGAATTGAAATCTCAAGCTCAACTGATCAGCCCATGCTTGCAAACGTGAAATCCAAAATCGGGGCATTTATCAAGCGAATTTTGGGGATATAACATCCCCAACAATTATGGGGTTGTAGAGATTGGTGAGTTGCTTTTTTTGAAACTATGAATCGATCAATGTTAGACCATTATTTAAGAAAGAAACCTGGAAGTACTAGATGTCCGTGTATGAGAGTCATCAGCAGTGAGTATCCATGACTTCTGTAACTCACGTTATTCGAAAATGAAAAAAAATCATAACCACAGTGTGAAAAGTACTAACTATCCTGACTGTTTTCAACATTCTAGCTGGTGGTCGTTAATTGGCTGGTGATGAAAAAAAGTCTGTGTGAAGTGATCATTCCAATTTGAAACAAAGTATAAGCTCGACTTTCATTACAAGGGAATAATTCAACCGATGAGGATCGATGATTTAAATTTAGGAAACGTTTACTAGGTAGGGACGGCAGATCAGTAGATGATGTAGTGAATCGTCGTCAGTTGTGGTGGTTGGGACATGTGTTACATAAGCCTAACCACCGACTGCCTCGATGAGCAGAGTTTTGCGATATAGGAATAGGTTGAAAGAAAGCTAGGGGTGGTGGAGCTCAGGTGGATGATTGTGGTGGTGTTTCATTCTCTGAGCTGGTTGTTTTGGTTGTGGAGCTTTCATTGTTCTTCTGAACAACATCATCAGCATAAACTTCAGATATAAGTGAAGCATTCGAACTTCTCGACGTTTGACCTCTAGCTTTTTCTGTTGACCTCGATGTTGATTGTTTGCTGTTTACCTTTGACCTGTCGTTGTTTACACCTTTGTTTTGATTGTATCTCCCTTTTGATCTGTTTCTTGATCCTGTGTCACCTATGATTTTCCTGATTGGTTGATAAATTGGGTCAATGTCGATGTGTTTGTTGATTGCTGGTTGACCTGAATGCCAAGATTCTAAAAATTCTCTATTGTTCTTTGTCCTTCCCCCCTACCCAGTACTTCCACATTGTTCCAATCAAATGTGTGTCCATAATTGTCGGTGTGTATTGATATAAGCGAAAGCTAGGGGTGACCAGACCGAAAGATGGCAGAAATCCATGAAGTCACTGACAAGTGGACTGAGTCATGTTGGTAGATGTAGACTACTTGGTTGGTGTCCGCGAGACGAAAGTCACCAATGGTTAGAGACCTTGAACGACATGGCTCAAAATAGTTTGCAATGGCGCAACTGCATCCACTCTTTGTCCCCTCTCAAATTTTAACCTGAATTTCTTATCATCTCTGTCTTTCTCTTTCTATAGTCTTCTCACTGAATTACACTTCTGGAATAATATCGTGTAACCGTAATCTCTTCGATTACTTCTGATACTTCAACTACCTCTACCATTATGAGATTTGAACTGGCAGTTGCGTTAGAAGTATGATCATGTGAAATAAATTTAAAAAGTGAAAAATCGGTCATGAAGAATTTAGGTCATTAGATTTGTAGAAAATTCAAAGAATTGGTGTATATGTACGATTGTAAAATATTTTGAGCTACAACATTCAAAGTCTCTAACTATCAGTTACTACTTTCTAGTGGAACCCGACGTGATAGTCTACACCTACTAATATGGCTCAGTCCAGTTGTCAGTGATTACATAGATTTGTGTCCTGTTTTGATTTAACCGCCCCTAACTTTCTTCCAGCCTATCTCTACACTACAAAACACTGCCCATCGAGGCAGTCGGTGGTTGGGATATGTGCTACTAATGAGTTTTCAATACTTCATCTATTGATTTATCATCCCTACCTAGTACCACTTTCTTAACCTTCCAGTATTGCCTACTCGATTGGACCATGTTTTACAAGCCAATGTTTTGAAGACACCTATTTTCGATTAATACTAACCTACAACTATCTTCTATTCTATCTGGCCAACTCTCACACCCGTATAATCGGACGGGACTAACTTCTATTGTTCAGTAAACACATCCTTCGGCTAGTACATGCATACACCTCTTATGCCAGTCGAGCCTTCGGTATGCGTGCCTAGATTTCATCATCAGGATTGATGAAACTCCGAAAAGAGAAATGAAGCAATCAACACACTCAACTACTTCACTCCTTATCTATCACCTAGTTCCAGGTTCCCTTTATTTACACCGTTTTTTTACCTGTCTACTGTTTAGCTACTCTTGCCAAACGTCTTCTTGACACATCAAACTCATCATTGGACAATGGATTAGCTGCTTGTATTTGTTATATTATTTCGGATAATTTTGATGAATTCACAAAATGTTGGCTACAATTGAATAGTTTGAATGAAATCAATGTCAGTAATATGCCGAAATGTTTGGTAAGTGTGATTGTGATTGATGAATTCATTTCAGAATTAATATTTTGCATTGCGGGGTTGTTGTGAAGATTGTTAAGTTACGCAGTTTTTGAAACCATGAATCGATCAATGTTAGACCACAATTACAAACCTGAAAGCACTGGACGGCCGTTTCGTCCTGGTATGGGACTGCTCAGCAGTCCGTATCCACGACTCCTGCACCTCGCAGGATTCGAACCCAGGACATTCGGTATTGTGCGCGAGCGCCTAAACTGTGGACCACTGAACCGGTACCTAACGGTGTTAATGTGTAACTTGATCAATTCAATGAGTTGTGCAACCTCATACACAGTCTTCGGTAGTTACTGTCTACACCCGAACAAGTTGAACTTCACTGGTCACGTCTTCCCACTAGAACTCGGAGATGATTACTCAGGAAGCTAGTCAGTAGTGAGCACAGGTAATTTGCATTACGGCGTTTGTGGAGATTGTTAAGTTACACACATTTTTAAAACCATGAATCGATCAATGTTCGACCATCATTAGAAACCTGGAAGCACTGGACGGCCGTTTTGTCCTGGTATGGGACGAATCAGCAGTGCGCATCCACGACTCATGCACCCTGAGGAGTCCCATACCTGGACGAAACGGCCGTCTAGTACTTCCAGGTTTCTAATGGTAGTCTAGCATTGATCGATTCATGGTTTCAAAAAGTTAATTTTTCGTAATTATGTTTCAATAATAGCGACAGTTTTAATTGATTGAATCAATCGAGATAGTTTCATGACTCTGCTGATTGTGAGGTTCTGTGACAATATCAATTATTAGAAAGTGTCCCAAGGAAGTACATTAACTTTATGAAAGCTTTCTAATCGAAAACTACCGGTCAAGTCATCGGAATTCATAACTTTCTGCAGTCTCGTTTAACTTTGTCATTTGACATGCTTTTAGAGTTAACTTAATCTTCGTCTGACTTTTCAGGACTGGACCTTTTACCAGGACACACGCTTATTGATTTAGAATATGCTGATGACATAGTTCTATTTGGTGAAGATTCTGTTAAAATATTAAATATTCTGACTAATACCCTGAGCAACAATGCAAGCTTGTTCGGGATACGTTTCTTACCCTCGAAATGCAAAATGTTGCTTCGAAATTGGGTTGCGTTGGCGCCTGAACTAATGATAAGGAGTGAAGCGGTTGCGGGTGTTTACCGCTTCACTTATCTTGGGAGTCTATCAATCCGCCACAAATAACCAACAGTCAACACATCACACAGAAAAACTCTTTCTTGTCAATGATTGGACAGGTTAAAACCATTACAAGTACTTTTCTGATAAACTGAATTCTGAACTGTTCTGTCTCCTTTCTGTTGTTATGACATTATCAAGAAAGTAGAACATATCGCGCTCCTTTCGTAGTCCGTAGTAGATTATTATTTCGAACTAAATAAAAATCTACGTTAAACAGTGTAATATCATTACAGATCTTTTTTGTAGACATGATACTTTCTGGTTGATATCAAAGTGATTTCTTGCGATAACAAACTTAACTACTTATAAGTAATACATTTAATAAAACGCAATATTTTCTACTTGATGCTAACCCCTCTCATGGTGCATAGACGACCACCGACCCAATTCTGGTAACCGTTTCTTTTTGCCGAGTTCGTTTTCTAATGGATGGGGTCGATAACACCCCTCGCTGTCCAGCACCCTTACTTTATGCTCGAGCTTGGGAATAGCAGTAGCCGCAGAAGGACTCGATATGGAGTTAACAATTTAAAAATATGAAATTTTATTTATTTGATTTCATAATCTATTATTCACCATAATAATAAAATTATTATTTTTTTTCAAAAATTTATTTAGCCTTTAGCATTACTACTTCTCTTCTTATATCGTTCAGCGTCTTCTTCTTCTACAACTACTATCATCAATCCATGTACAGATAATGATGATCAGTTAAATTGTAAATTATTACTAACACTCAGTATATGGTTAATTGAATTTCCAATGGACAATAGTCAATTAAATGATGATGATAGAATTTTATTAAGTTTTAATTTATTGGCTAAAATTCTACCAACTGTACAATTTCATTCATCCCAATCAACATTGTTTAGTTTAAATGAATTCAGGCATCGTGTTTGGTGTAATCTAACCAGTGAACAACAACAACAACAGCTGAAATTATCGTCCATGGGATTACAACAACATCATCATCAACAGCCACAATTACTGTGTCCTTATCCAGTAAGTGTTTATCGATCGATCGACTGATTGGTTGGTTGGTTGACTGTTCAAGTTGAAATAGTTTTTTTTTCTTTCGAATTTGTCTTCGGAGTCTCATCCGTGTCCAGATGGAGCCAAAGACCGAGTCTACTGCGCCCCAGTTCGCTCCGTCCTACTATATGGCTGCGAAACATGGTGATTTGAAGTAGAAGATAATAGTAGGTTACTGATTTTCGATTATAGATGTCTTCGAAGCATTGTTCGTGTCCCATGAGAAAAACGAGTAAGCAATGCTGTCGGAAGGTGGCAGATCAATGGATGAAGAATTGAAACTTCATCTTTTGAGATGGTTGGGACATGTGTTGCGAATGCCTTACCAACGGCTGCCACTAAGACCGACGTCAATCCGATTTAAATTCCAGGTTCATCGAGAAACATATCAATTGATGAGCATATCATTTGGCGACGGTCGTTGTGGAAACATGGATCCTTCGACGCTTGAACAGTAGATGTTGATAGATACCGATCTACATCATGACAAGACTATGGTTCAGAGTGGTGAATCTAATCAATCTGACGTACACGTAGTGCAACTGTCACCTGGTCAGTATAAATGTTCCCCTGATACACCCAGTCCACTTCACTCCAGCTTAATCCGACAGACGAAAATGAATTCCCCTGCCCTCCTTGCTTGCACTGTGACACATGCCTTTATGCGCGATGCTGCTCATTTAAGTGACATCGATTGAAGAAGTGTAAGGTCGTGGGTCAAAAATGTGTGTTTTGTCCAAAGAGTAAGCCAAATCGCTGTAGGAGTACCAGAAAGACTGTTTACAAGGTGAAAGGACATTCGTTTAGATTGCAAACAGATACAGCATCAAACATCACCATTAACTGACGTAAAATTTGAATCAAAATGGGCAGCCTAAGCCTACGTGTGTTATCAGAAAACCACATGACCCCCTGAAGCGCATATATGAAAAGGAAGCTAATGTCACAATTTTTTCCAGCTATTTTCCAACACATTTATTTCCATACTGTTGGTCAGCTTGGCTGTGATATTCGCTCTCATGCTTGTAAGTAACTCATCTTGTTTACCTATTCATTCCTAATTTGGTTTTTCTCATTATTAGCTAATTCAATGTCATTGTGGTTTACCGAAATTGCATTCATTCAATAAAATTCAACCGACCAATCAACAATTGACCTTAACAACCAATCAATTTCAACAATCTCAACAATCCGTTTTAACATGTAATGATGGTCTATTGAATAATAAAACAATTGGACAAAATCAATCTATGTAAGTTGTTCAAAACAGTGGTTCCCTTTGATAAATTTGAATAGAGAACTAAGAAGACATATTTTGTGAGATAGTACCATTTCGTGCTTTCTCGTCAGTCACATACAAGCAGCAACATGTTATTTGTGTAAATACAGTTTTGAAGATAAGGTCAAAATTTCTTATTTAGCATGATATTCACTCACTAGAACCATGGTAAACAAAGGTCAACATACAGTTAGTTGTTTTTGAACACATAAAGTTGGACTTTTCCGACCAATCAAGATAGCTTCGAGTAGTTTCAGTGTGTGTGTGTGTGTGTGTGGGTTTCGATGACATGTCACAACTCTAAAGGCTGATTTTGGGTCAATTTGATGACCACTCATCATTAGATGTTTTGCAATGGACGAGGCTGGGTTTCTTGATCGATTTTGAGTTGATAGGCTAGGTTGATGAATCATGGATTTGATTAACCATTTTGGAATATGTTCCCCTATCCTGTCTTCCAATCGGCGATCTGTCCTCCCTAAGTAACTTTCTCCGCAGTTACATGTGAATTGGTAAATACAGTGGGATTTGGACTGAATCGGTCTTGGAGACTTGATTGGGGTAACTGAAATCGATTGGGTTGTTGTGATAAGCCTCAGATTAGCTGCATTGAAGGTCTTTTTTTATTGCAGCTGCAGTCTGTTTGGTTGTAATTTTCATGCAATGATCACCCTTGAAAGGTAATTGTAGGTACACTGGTTTCTTGGGCACATCAGTTGCTATCAGCTTCGTCGTAGTTGTGTTCTGATGACCAATAAACGTTTCGGGATATCCGTTTGATTTAAGTGTCTCAGTAATAAGCTTGAATTCGTCGTTCAATGTATCAGCAGTGCAGATTCTACTTGCTCGAGCGAATAAAGTTTTGACAACAGAAAGTTTATATTGTATGGGGCAGAAACTAGTGAAGTGGAGATACTGTCCCGACCAGGTGGGTTTGCGGTGTACTTTTCGTCTGATTGATCCGTCTGGACGGCGATGGAGCAGGGTATCGAGGAAGGCTAATTCATTATTCTTTTCTTCCTCATAAGTGACTTTCAGATTCGGGTGAATCGCATTAAATAAATCATTGACTTCATTAACTTCTGTAGAATGTGGTAATATGACGAGAATATCGTCGACATATCGTTTTTAAAGTCTAATACCATCGATGAAGTGACTCGCTTGCCTTTCTATCATTCCCATTAATATGTTTGCTTAAACAGGTCCGAGAGGGCTTCCCATAGCCACCCCATCAATTTGTGTATATGCTTTACCTTGGAAATAGAATTTTATATTCTTTGTGCACAGCAAAATTAGATCTCGAAGATAGGTAGTCGGAATGGGTATTCTTATGTTGTGTGAAGTTATGAAGTCACAAATAAATTCCACAGTTTCTTCGAGAGGTACATTTGTGAATAAAGAGTTTACATCGAAAGAACAGATCGGACTATTCAAGTGTTCCAAAGTTGGGAGAAGTTCAAAGGAATCGACGATAGTATGTGTCGACAGTTCTTTACAAACAGGATCCAAAATTTCTTTCAGCCACTTTGCTAGCTTATGGTATGGTGAATTTATCATGGACAGAATTGGTCTCATAGGTGTTGTAGGCTTGTGTAGTTTCGGTAAGCCATACATTTGTGGTGTGCATGTACCGATGGGCTTGAGCATTTTATAATGGGTCTCGGTGATAAAACCATGAAGCATGAGTAGATGCAGTTCTCGGCATATCTGTTTTTCGACCAACTTCACGTTATCGATCTGTGAATCTGATTTAAATTTAGCAGAGTCTGAGAGAATCACGTTCATTTTCGTTATGTAGTTGTGACATGTAATCAAAGCCCATACACACTCAAAATACTCGAAGCTATCTTGATTGGTCGGAAAAGTCCAACTTTATGTGTTCAAAAACAACTGTATATTGACCTTTGTTTACCATGGTTCTAGTGAGTGAATGTCATGTTAAATAAGAAATTTTGACCTTATCTTCAAAACTGTATTTACACAAATAACATGTTGCTTGTATGTGACTGACAAGAAAGCACGAAATGGTACTATCTCACAAAATATGTCTTCTTATTTCTCTATTCAAATTAATATTTTGATAACAACATCAAATAAAATCCACTAGAGGCAATATACCGATTTTAAAAACACGTTGTACGATGGTGATCGGTGCACAAAGAAAGTTTTAGACACTATATACTCTTTCAGGAACCTAAAGCACATACACGTTTTCCACATTATGATGGAGGTTTTGTTATTTCGCTGCATGATTTCTCCATACCCAGCTAACTGATTTTTTATCTCGGATCAAACATTCACTTTCCATTCTGTCAAATTCTCAAATAACATCTGCAAATGTAACATACAGCAGTGAGTAGGAGTTCTCTGACAGTGTATTGACAGTATTTACACATAGCTAGCAATCTTTGAAGATATTTGGAGAACACTGTCGAACATACCAGTACGTTTTTAAAGGTCATCATTATGTAACAGAATACACTCAACTGACTAAAATATTTCAGTTTCTTTGTGTTTTTAATGTTTCATTCATGAATTTCATCTAAAAAAATTGAAATTTATTTTTTCAAATTATTCTATATTCAATACGTTGAAAATGTAACAAGATTGTTTTAACAATGTTTGCATGAATGTGATAGGTTCTTTTATGCACTCGCCATTTTTTTGAAATGTTTTCGTTCCCTCTAGATTGAACATCTCTCCACCGATCAATATATCACACAATTCAAATGTACCGCCATCATTTACATCACCGGTTTGTTCAAATGTTTATCCTTCATTGAATTTACCACCTACACACTTGACAAATCAACAATCATCGATTGTTACACCACCGATGCCAAATGCTTTTAATAATAACAGTTATACTACTACTAATCATATCAGTAGTATTGGTAGTGGTGGTGTTAATAGTAATAATTATCCTCCAATGAAACCTTGTTTGCAACCGAACACTGCTAATCTGATAGAATTCAATGCAGTTGACGCGAATAGGTAGGTAATAATTCATTTAATATATAGTTATTTAGTTGAATGCCACCTGGAGCCTCCTCTGAATGTATTGTCGATACTTTGCCTTGCTAAAGTAGGAGGTTTGGGGTTATGTGGTTAGCGATCCGTAGAAAAATAAATCGCTTAAGAAACCTGATTATTTATTTATTGGTTTTTTATTGAGCTCTTTAAATGACGTCGTTTGACAGTGACCGGTGACCAAGAGAAGGCTTATACACCATTCACTCTTTGGGGAACCTTAAACCCATCTGTACGTTTCTCATTGAAATGGAGGTTTTACAATTGCCCTCCGTGAATCTTTCATATCTAGCTAATTGATTTAAGCGTAGACCGAACATTCACTTTCCATTGCTACAATTTTGTAAGCAACTACGTCGTTGTGTTATTGCAGTGAGTAGAACGTCTCTGTCATTCATCGGTGAAAGCATTCGGAAATTCTACTAACCGTACCATTTCGTCGGCAAGAACGCAGAACTTCGTGCGTACGTACATTGGTACTAGTTGCCATACCACATAAGCATAGAGATGCAATTATTGTAGTGGTAGAAGTACTAGGATTATTGTTGGTAGTGGAGTAGATAATGGTTTAAATCTTTGCCGTGGCAACCGATTTTCACCCTTGTCATTCTAGGTCTCTATCCGTCGGTTGGCATTGTCTCGCGTAACCCAACTAAGTAGTCTACATTTACCAACGTGACCTACTCAAGTTATGAATGAATTCATAGATTTGTAAGATGTTTTGATCTTACCGCCACTAGCTTTCTTCCATCCTTCCCTATCACTACAAAATATCGCTCGTCGAGGAAGTCGGTGGTGGTTGAGCATTATTGGTAACACATGTTCCTAACAACTCGACTGATGAAGTTTCATTCCTTCGTCTATTGATCTGGCATCCTTCCTTGTTTATCGATTTTGTAACAATAGAATGGCTTACTCAATTGTCCCAGGATAAAAAAGCAATGCTTCAGAGACCCCTTATGGTCGAATCACAGTAAGCTTCAAATATCCTTCACTTTTACAGACCAAATTTCATACTCTTTTATAGAACAGTGCAGACAGCTGTGCAGTAGACTCGTCTTTTGGTTAGCGATGGGATACCACTCCTGTGCTATTCAATAACGCAGGTTGGGAAAAGCTAGTTAAGTCTTCTGAATCCGTGCTGAGACACTAGGCTTTCATGACTGATGAAACTCTCACGATAAGTGAGACAGTCAACAAGCCTAACTACTTCACTCTCTAGTTCAGTTGGTGGTGATTCAAGCCAATTGTGAAACAACATCTTGTATTTGCAGAGGGACTGTCGCATCCCGAACACTTTTGCATTGTTACTTAGGGTAGTCAGGAGACATTGCATTTTGTCAGCATCGTCACCAAGTATAAGTATGTCATCGGCATATTCTAAGCCGATAACTGAATGTCGACCAGTACCAGGGTGTTTTTAAAAGGTCGTGGTTTTTAAGGGAGCACACATGACCGACTGTGTATGATGTCTCGACGGGTACTGTTTTCAGGCCGAGTTTTTGAGGTTTGTGTTTTTACGCATTTGAAATCATCAATCAATCATTGTTAGACCACCATTAGAAACCTGGATGCACTGGACGGCCGTTTTGTCCTTGTATGGGACTCATCATCACTGCGCATCCACGACTCCTGCTACTCGCAGTATTCGAACCTAGGACCTTCGGTATTGAACGCACCACTGGGCCGGCATCCAACAGTGTTAATGTCTCATTCTGATTGATCTACGGATTTTTCGCGGCCTCACCCATTTGTCTTTGGTAGTTACTGCCTATTTCATATTCATTTACGTTGATTATGTAACAAGATTGTTTTAACTATGTTTCCGTGGTTGATATTCTTGCATGAATGTTTTTTACCATCCAGATTGAACATCTCTCCACCGATCAATGTAGCACATAATGCAAATGTACCACCATCATTTACATCGCCGGTTTGTTCAAATGTTTATCCTCCGTTGAATTTACCACCTACACACTTGACAAATCAACAATCATCGATTGTTACACCACCAATGCCGAATGCTTTCAATAATAACAATTATACTACTACTAATCATATCAGTAGTAGTGGTGTTAATAGTAATAATTATCCTCCAATGAAACCTTGTTTGCAGTCGAACACTACTAATCTGATAGAATTCAATGCAGTTGATGCGAATAGGTGGGTGATTATTCATTTGTTATGTTGTTCTTTAGCTGGCGTCTGATATACTCGTCATTTGATATGCCTAAAACTATTACGAGTTCACTTTACTCGGTAAGCGAGAACGAAGCAATAATACAGTGACACAATAGGCTATTCTGATTTGATTGTCCCCAGCCATGCTGTCTATAGGAAGAAGTCTTGAAATGACATAGAAAGTGTATTTTACAAGCACGAGGTTGACAAGCACTCAAAACAAGCTTATTTATACAATCATAGCCCCTTCCTTCGGATAACCACTAAATACCTCATTAAAACAAAACATCAACCGGCAATAGTCAAAGATTTTCTGTGTGAGATATGTAATCTCATGGTCAACTGATGAACGTATGCGCGAAAACATAGAAATCGAGGATTGAGTTCTGTGGTCCTAACGTCCTCGACAGACTTTTCCTAGGACCTTTTCTGGTTGTAATGCCGGTCCGAAGCCCAAATAAGCGGGGAGGATTGAGTGTATTTGGTTAGCAATCTGATGCGGTAGAAAACGATATTCGCTTATAAAAACGTCGTTATTTTTCTGTTGGTTTCTTTCTCATTTAATGCTATGAATCATGTACAATTTCTTTCTGTCAACATGTTCAGCTTGGATTTGATTTTCTTCCTTGCACCATACTAGATGTAGGATTTAGTTATTGTTTTCTCTGATATGTTGTTGAATTGTTCGAGTATGTCGCCTACCAGGCAAATCCAAGATATACGGTTCATCCTGTGTTAAATGTTTTCGCTAGCTAGAATAATATCACAGCTGTTCTATTGTCTGTCAGTCAGTCAGTCAATCAGCTATAATATAGAACTTACGTACCTACTTGTATGTACATCATTTTAGCTTGTCATAAATAGAGATGCACACCCAGAGATGCAATGATCAGTTCCAGTCGTTTAGTGGTAGAATACTCTATCGTAGCACTAGAGCACAAAACTGTTTGTCTCAATTGTAATTAGCTTTTGGGTTCAGACAATCACTCCTAGTTTTGGATATCCAACAGACAAGTCTTATGTTGGGTAGAATATCGCATCCTCTATCGGATCCCCTATCTACTATTAGTGTCATTTTATATATATTCGAAATCAGTTTTTTGTCATAATTGTTACATCAAGTCAATCCTAACTGGGATTCTCTTCAGTCTGTCGAAAATCGATCTTCAATGAAATCGTTTTCATGTTATCTGTTAATTCGACACATGATTCTGGTTGGATATAATTTTTATTTATGTATGTACATTGTGTCTGTTGTCTTTGACTTGGAAGTATACACTCTAATTGTGTAAGCATTAGTGATATTGCGTTCAGTCAGTCAGTCAGTCAGTTGCAACGTAGAACTTTGTACGTATGTACATAAGTTCATGTTGCCATACCACTACATTAGCACAGAGACGAAAATGTCAAATCCAATCCCATTGTGATAAAGATAGTAGAGGTATTAATGTTAATGAAGAAGACTAGGGTTTGAAGATATTATTCAAGAAGTATAATTCAGTGAGATATAAGGTTAGAAAGACAAAGGTAAAGGTGCTGACGAATCGAGAAGATTAGGATTTGTGAGAGCACAACGAATGGATGCACTTGCGCCAAACGATTTTGAGCTATGTCGTTGTTCAAGGTCTCTAACCATTGGTGACTTTCGTCTCGCGGACACCAAACCAGGTAGTCTACATCTATCAACATGACTCAGTCCACTTGTCAGTAATTTCATGGATTGCTGCCATGTGTTGGTTTGTCCGCCTCTAGCTTTCTTCCAACCTACTCCTACTACTCTCAGTAGTATGCATTAAAGTGTCAGCTAGAAATTATTATCGAAGAGAAGAATGTCATATCTAAATGAATGATTCAAGCAATGTGACATGTGAAAAAGTACTGTCAATTATCTGCCAGTTTTGAAAATGAATGTTCGAAGTTGAGGTGTACGTACTTCTTTGTTTAACCTAATTGCTTTTCCTATTGTTTTAGCATGTCAACTATGATGCATAAACCGCCATTACCGCCGCCAATACAACCTGCTCAAATGTATACAAATGTTGAGCATCATACTATGTATAACAGATCAACAATACAACATCCTAGTTTTCAACCAATAAACAATATGCCTTATACTGCTGCTGCTGCTAGTGGTGGTGGTGTTGGTATGTCAACACCTCCTGCTCCATTCAATGTCCAACACCAACAACCACAACAACCACCACATGAGCCACAACAGCTAGTGCAACCATTAGTACAATCAGCTGGGATTCCACCGCCGCTGCTACCCCCACCAGCACCAGCTCCAGCACCACCACTACAACAACAACAACAACATCAACGTCAGTCATCTGTCATATCACCAGGTTGGAATGATCCACCCATCTTGTCAAATGATAAACCACGTCAAGTAAGTGATGGTTGTGTTTTTAATTTTTCTTTTCTCAGTGTTCATCACGAGTCTGCTGCTGCTGTTGTTGTGTTTTTAATTTTTCTTTCTCAGTGTTCATCACGAGTCTGTTGCTGTGTGTTTGCATGTGCGTGTGTGGTTTTCGGGTACGAGGTCGGTGATGGTGATGAAGATGATGATGATCGCTTCTCAGCTACGTCGTATATCGTGGAGAATGAATTTTTTTTCGTGACGGACCTAAAGATGTAGTTGGATTATTGTTTAACTGAGAGTGTGACTGTAGAGAACACAAGGGATAACTGCTTGAGGCCGACCGCTGGTCAATGAAAAATGATTTGAACTATTCTGTGATTCGTATTGTTAACTGAAACTTGAAAATGCTTGGTTGGTGTAGAATTATACTGTGCAGTCGTATCCGTAGAACGAATCTTGTATATTATACGGTTGTAGAGACTGGGTCGCATCAGCACCTGAACTAGTGATAGGGAGTGAAGTAGTCGAGCGTGTTGACTGATTCACTTATCTAGGGAGTCTCATCAGCGCCGATAGCCTGGTGACTGACGAAATCTCAGCGTGAATACAGAAAGCTCGATTTGCTTTTGACAATTTACGTCGTTTATGGCGTGGGCGAGTCTCGTTCGTTAACCAAAGGACGCATGTACTACGCAGCAGTTCGTTCCGTTCTCTTATATGGCTGTGAAACATGGCCGTTAAGAGTAGAAGATGTTCGTAGGTTATTAGTATTCGATCATAGATGTTTAAGAAGCATTGCTCGTATATCGTGGGACAAACGAGTAATCAATGCTGTCGTTAGGAAACGAGTACTAGGTAAGAATGGCAGATTAATAGATGAAGTAGTGAAACTTCATCAGTTGAGGTGGTTGGGACATGTGTCACGTATGGCTAACCACCGACTGCCTCGACGAGCTATGTTTTGTGGTGTAGGAGTAGGATGGAAGAAATCTAGGGGCGGTCAAACCAAAACATGGCAGAAATGCATGAAGTGACTGACAAGTGGGCTAAGTCATGTTGGTAGATGTAGACTACTTGGTTGGTGTTCGCGAAACGAAAGTCACCAATGGTTAGAGACCTTGAACGACGTGGCTCAAAATCGTTTGCAATGGCGCGAGTACATCCATTCTTTGAGCTCTCTCAAATCCTAATCTTCTGGATTAGCCAGCACCTTTATCTTTGTCTTTCTAACCTTATCTCATAGAATTATACTTGTTGAATAATATCTTCAAACCCTATTCTTCTTCATTATCATTAATACCTCTAGTATCTCTATCACAATGGGATTTGATTTGACATTTGCGTCTCTGTGCTAATGTGGTGGTATGGCAACATGAACTCATGTACATACGTACGAAGTTCTGCGTTGTAACTGACTGACTGACTGTAGAGATAACTGAAACACACACAAAACTCTGAAACTCATCAGGAATCGTATCCATGTCTCCTTCATCTCATCATGGGATTCGAACCCAGTACCTTTAACCTTGCGCACGAACGCCTAACCTCTGAACCACTAGACTGGCACTCAACAGTGTTAATGTCTAATTCTGATCAATCTACAACTTTTGTGTGACCTCACTTATTTGTCTACGATAGTTACTACACACAGTGTTGATGAGTAATTTCCATAGCAGGATGAAACAATCATCGTCCAGTTAATTTATTCAATGTATTTTGAATTAATTTTGCATTGTTCTTTCTTTTCTTATCTCTTCTTCTTAGTCAAGTGTTTCACATAATCCTTATTATAATCCAATGGAATTTGCGAATTCACCTATAATTCCTCAACCGACCAATGTTTTATCATCAAATAGTATTACGTCAAATCCTTCATTACCGCCGAATTCAAATGTATGTTATCCTGCAGCCGCCATGCCTTTATTAAATCCTAATCTAATTTGTACTCAACAACCGATACAACAACAATTTGCACCGTCATCATTATTCATGCAACAACCACAACAACCACCGCTACCACCTTCATATTCACAAGTTCAAGGAGGCGGCGTAGCAGGAGTAGGTGTAGTAGGTGTAGTTGCACAACATCAACACGAACAATACCAGTCATCTATTGGACCAAGTTCACAGTTCTCTCCTAGATTGCCATCATCATCAGTTGCCTCATCTGATGTTTGGCCTATAGCTCAACCTTTATGTACTACTACTACTACTAGTACTACTGTTGATACAACTGTTACACCTATACAATCGGATTTGAACAATCAAACTTCGATTGTAAATGATAACTTATCTACGAATTCAGTGAACTCATTGTCAACTCATAATTCATTACCAATAGAATTTCAACATATACAAAATGTATTAAATAATTTAATTCAAAATTGTCGTGACATTGGCAGCAAAGTAAGTGTCTCTCTGTCTCTTTGTGTGTGTGTTTATGTATGTTTGATTAGCCGTTTTGAAATTCTTTCATATATAAGCGTTGCGTATCAGTTAGAGTTAAGTCAGTCAGTTAGTCGTGGAGATAAGAGAGTAATTAGGTAGGTAGGATTTTATTCTGATCGATTTTCATCTCGTCTGCTTTGATGGGTATGAGGGTGGATGAGTTAATTCTCGGCTGCCTACACTGTGGAAGGGTTGTGGTTGTCAGAAGAAGGTATCAACTTCATCATGACTTCCGAAGCAACTCGGCTTTCATCATGAGACGTCATAACTCTAAGTTCCCAGAGCATAGTTTAAATGGTTTGAATTATTTTTTTCTGGTTGGCGCTTTTTTTTAGCGTGATAGCTTTTTTGAGGGATGAGGTCTTCAACTTCAAGCCAGACCCACCTCCTTTATTCGGGCTTGGGAACCGGCAGCAGCCCTGAAGGGTCTACAGGCGGAGTTAGAGATGCGTATATATATATATATATATATATATATATATATATATACATATTGCTAAGGAAATCTTATTGACAGTTTTTTCATTGCTGAAGATGTTGTTGTTTTGTGACAGTGTCAACATGAAAAAGGAGTGTTCGACCTGGCTGTTGAGTATGTAGGGGAACGCATACAGTATAAGGGAGGTTAGAAAATCTTGATTCCAAACGAACAATGTACACTTGAGCTTCAGGTTTGAGCCATGTCATTCAGGGTTTCTAACCATCGAATATTATCATCTCGTGGACCCCAACCAGGTAGTCGACAACTACCGACATGGCTAAGTCCACTCGTCAGTGACATCATGGATTGCTGCCATGTTTTGGTTTGGCCGCCCCTAACCTTCTTCCAACCTATTCCTACACTACAAAACAAAACTCTTCGAGGCAGTCGGTGGTTAGGCATATGCAGCACATGTCCCAACCATCTCAATTGATGAAGTTTCAGTAATTCATCTATTGATCTGCCGTCCTTATCTAGCATCCATCCGTTTCCTAATAACAGCGTTTCTCACTCGGGTGTCCCACGATACTCGAGCAATGCTTCTAAAACATCTATGATCGAAAACGAGTAACCTACAGATATCTTGTATTCTGATTGGCCATGTTTCACAACCATGGAGTAAGACGGAGCAAACTACTGCGCAGTACACTCGTCCTTTAGTCAACAAACGGATATCTCGCCTTCGCCATAAGCGGCGTAAATTGGCAAAAGCCAATCGAGGCTTCTGTATCCGTGCTGAGATTTCGTCAGTCACCAGGCCATCGGCACTGATGAGACTCCCAAGATAAGTGAAGCGGTCTACACGTTCGACTACTTCACTCCCTATTACTAGTTCAGGTGCCGATGCAACCCAATCTTGAAGCAGCATTTTGCATTTCGAGGGTGAGAACCGCATCCTGAACATGCTTGGTTTGCTTCTTAAGATGGTCAAAAGACTGCATTTTGTCAGCGTCTTCACCAAGTAGGACTATGTCATCGGCATATTCTAAGTCAATAAGCGAGCCACCTGGTAGAAGGTCTACTCCTGGAAATTCACACGAGGATAAGGTTATTTCTAGGAGCATGTATATGATAAAATTAAACAAGAATGGAGAAAGTGAACAGCTCTGACGGACACCACTTGAAGTGAAGAAGTTCGTTGACAGTTCGCTATAAGCTCTTACTCGACCAGTGGCGTTCGAGAGAGAGCGAGCTTGTATAAGGTTAATGTACTTCTTTGGTACACCTTTCAATGACAGATACTGCCACAGAACCTCACTATCCACTGAGTCAAATGCCGCCTTAAGTTCCAGGAGAACAACTATTGTAGAGGACGTCTACGGTCGGGTGTGTACATAGGTACGTACGTAAATACGAAGTTATTCTGCTTTGTAGCTGACTGATTATCTGACTAAATAAAAACCGTCATTTAATTTATACATTTTTGAAACCATGAACCGATCAATGTTAGACCACCAGTAGAAACCTGGAAGCACTGGACGGCCGTTTCGTCCTGGTGTGGGACTCCTCAGCAGTGCGCATCCACGACTCCTGCACCCCGCATGGTTTCAAAAATGTGTAACTTTACAATCTTCACAACCCCGTAATGCAAATTACCTGTGCTCACTAGTGACTAGCTTCGTGAGGAATCTTTTTCCGAGTTCTAGTGGGAAGACGTGACCAATGAAGTTCAACCTGTTCGGGTGTAGACAGTAACTACCGAAGACTGTGTATGAGGTTGCGCAACTCCGTGAATTTTATCAAGTTAGACGTTAACACCGTTAGATACCGGCTCAGTGGTCTATCGGTTAGGGCGTTCGCGCACAATACCGAAGGTTCTGGGTTCGAATCCTGCGAGGTGCAGGAGTCGTGGATGCGCACTGCTGAGGAGTCCCATACCAGGACGAAACGGCCGTCTAAACAGTGCTTCCAGGTTTTTAATTGTGGTCCAACATTGATTGGTTCATGGTTTCAAAAATGTGTAACTTAACAATCTTCACAACCCCGTAATTTAATTTATATGCATATAATTGTTTATTTTTAATTTACTTCTTATTTAGCAATATCATCATAAATTAACTGATATTGAACAACGTTTAAATCAATTTTTTATCAACATTTCAACTGGTCAATTACAATTAATTGATTTATCCATGGAATATTTACAAAATTCTATTCATTCAATTGAATTAAATGATTATTGCAATGCTTTACAACAAATTAATACATTCATTCAATCATCAATTCAATTGCCAAATATTCAATGTTATGGACCAGCATTGAAAATGTTAATTCAACTAGCTCAACAATTATCATTGAACAAACAAACAAAATAACAATAATAATGATAATGATAATAATAATAATCATAATTTGAACAACAATACTTTCGCGCAATTCATGAATTGATTGATTAAAACAAAACACTGAATATTGAACATTGAACATTGAATGTTGTACGTACACATTGAACTGTAGCGCAAAAGAGAGATGGTGAGAGAGAGAGAGAGCAAGCGAGCAATAAAACACAGAATGATGCAATCAATCAATTCTTTGAAGTTGTTTAATAAACTACTACTACTACACTTACAATTGTCTTTACGGTCTCTTCTAATTTTATTTGTGTGTTTGTATGATTATTTGTTACTTTTAATTTTTTGTTGGGGATTATTCTGGCGCTTTTTTTTTCTCCCTATGTAAGATGTCTTTCTCTTGGCGCAAACATATTATGACACACACACACACAATAATAATAATAATCTTTTTTCACCCAGTTATCTTGTTACCATTTATATTGAAATGTTTTCTATTAACGTATCGTGAACTGCCTACTTGTCGAGCTATAATTTGTGATGTAGGAGTAGATTGAAAGAAAGCTAGGAGAGGCCAAACCAAAACATGGCAGAAATGCATGAAGTCACTGACAAAAATGGATTGAGTCATGTTGGTAAGTGAAGATTATCAAGTTGGGGGTCTGCGAGATTATAGTAATCGGTGATTCGAGAGGCCTTGAATAATATGACTTGAAATCGTTTGCAATCGTGCGGTTGCATCCATTCATTGTGTTCTCTCAAATTCTAATCTTCTGAATTCTTTATGATTAATCTTGAATGGATGATTGCGTCTGTGTGTGCTAATGTAGTATGGCAACTTGAACTGTTGTACGTACTAACGTACGTGTGTATGAAGTTGTTCTACGTTGTAACTGACTGACTGAGGCAGAAAGAAAACACTAGTTTTAGCGTAAAAATATTTATGTATCTATTTTTTTACTCAACGATTATGTTACGCCTGCGCGTAAACACGTCAACTTGATATACTTGAACTATTACGAGTCTATTTAGTCGGAAAACGAGAGCGAGGATCGAGCATCCGGTGACACGACATGCTACTCAAATCCGATTATTCCAACCACCATATTTAGTGAAAATAAGAAGACATGATATGAAGTAGAACCTGTATTCTACAAGCATCCAGAAAGCACAAGGTCCGAGTCTAGAAGAGAATCCGGATCCCGGTCTAGGGATCCGGGACCGGGTCGTGGTTATAAAACGTTACAGATAACGCGTATTTATACATTTAGGTCGAATAGGAAACAGAATCGCATTCTGTGACATTGACAGTTAAGACGACCAATAAGAAGCAACATTTGAAGTGACATTGATAGTCAGGACAACCAATAAGAAAAAAACATTGGAGCACGTGACTGTTTTATTGAACATTTGGAATTGACCATAATTCTCTCAGGATATTGGATGAATATCCTAACAGGTTACTACTTGTACCTCTCTGGAAGTATAACAGACTTTGGTAGTGTCCTATGGCTTCAATTTCCAAACGCTTTGGTACAGTCGAGACATGCTCTTACATTGGCTATTATGACTATAGAACCACTCTACCAGAGAAATTCTACTCATTGACTTGTTGAGATCACATGAAGCAAGGAAATCGTTCTAGACGTTAATAACAAGCGAATTGATACTTCAAGTTTTGAAAATTTTTAAAAACAATTGGTTTTACTCAATAGATTCGAAGGTGCCCATCAGTTCGTTTTAAATTTCCTACAACAATCTGAGAGAGACAATTTTAAATTTTAAAACATCATAGTAACATCATGTAACGATATGTAAGGTTTGATATATTCTTTGTTTTTGAAGGTGTTTGGTCTGTGTTTGTGATGGTAGATACTCCTGATTTTGTATCTTAATTTTCGAAATCTCAATTTCTATTCTTCATATGTTTCCCACCTGCAATAAACTTTTTGCCGTACTTGAACTGAATGCTTGTCAGTTTGTTCGTTCGCTTGGAGCTAGGCGGCAGATAATAGTCAAGTTGTCCTGTTTCTTTATCACGTTCTATTCACCTATATATCTAATCGTAACCTAATGAACGCAAGTATAGCAGGTCAGCGGAATTATTAATGTGTGATTAATTGAAGTGATACACTGAATTTTGTCTGAATTGGAACTTGATCTGGCTTGCGAAAAAGTTATTAGTGCTGTGGTTGCATGCTGAGCATTTGGCTGCCAGCCGGTAGGTGATTAGTGTATTAGTTCCGCACATGTTGTCTGGGAGGGAGCCTCGATTCAAACGTAGACATTAGTGTCATTCCCGGTCACCCTAGTAATGTTAAAATAACCGGAGAGTCCGCTATTCATTTCTGAAGTCCCTCATATACCACTGTCAGAAAATTATTAATCACGATTCCCCTATAATTGGAGTATTTACGAAAGCGAGAGTACAAATAAACATTATTCGATCTGCCCTTAAATCAAGTCGTCTGCTCGTCGAAAACTTGTTGTGGGGCCACTTTGGAAAACCGCTCGTTTCGGTTCGGTCAGCCGGGCATTATTTTAGCACACTTATCAATATCTGGACGCATCTTTGTACCAGCAATCATATGTTCAACTAAACAAACGAATTTATTATTTATTTGATCCGATATACCTATCGATATTTCATTGATAGTATAATAAGTAAAACAACGTATCTATGAAAAAGTTTGTTAGGATATTCATCCAATATCCTAAGAGAATTTTTGGTCAAATCATATTGGTCAAAATTATGGTCGTTTTAACTGTCAAAGTCAAATACTTCAGTGTTTTCTCTTATTGGTCATCCGAACTGTCAACGTCATTTCCCATGTTCTTTCTTACTGGTTGTCCTGACTATCAATGTCACTTCAAATGTTACTTCCTATTGGTCGTCTTAACTGTCAATTTCACAGAATTCGATGATGTTTCCTATTCGACTAAAATGTACAAATATGCATTATTATCTGTAACGTTTTATGACCATGACCAGGACTCGGTCCCGGATCCCTAGTCCAGGATCCTGTTTCTCTTCTGGATTCGGACCTCGTACTTTCTGGATGCTTGTAGAATACAGGTTCTACTTCATATCACGTCTTCTTATTTTTACTAAATATGTGTGTTGGAATAATCGGATTTGCGTAGCATGTCGTGTTACCTGATCCTAGATCCTCGTTCTCCTTTTTCTGACCAAGGTAAACTCGTAATAGTTTCAAGCCTAACAAAATGACATGTTTACGTGTACTGGTATAATCACTGAGATGAAAAATTCACTACTACACATCAATTTGTGCACAAACCTTAAATTCACAAACAACATTAACTTGATCGTCATATCGTGTTCACTCACCATTGTCATTGTTCAATTTTTCCAATTAGATATTATATCAGTCCTGATAATTTATTATGACTTAATGATCACAATGAAATAAATTACACAACTGTACATAATAAGTAAACGGAGAGAATTATAATAGGAAGATAGGTGAACTAATAGTGCCAAGAAATCTATAAAGACCTTAAAAACTCAAGGTTAGCAAGGTTGTAGATAAACGATATCAACTTTGCAGATAATCTAGCTATTCTATCCCACACACAGACATAAATGAAGTTGCTTAAAACTAGTGTGGCTGTAGGCTGTAAGCATCAATATACACAAGGCAAAATGTAAGTACCTCCTTAGATACGACACAGTATGCACACACTAAATCACAATTGATGTAGAAGCTTTGCAGGATCTGTAAACCTTGATATATCCAGTCCACATAATTGATGTACACGGCATAGGTTGGCAGAACATGTTCAGCACTTGTAAATTTGAAGAACAAATGATAATTAAACAACTGAATGGTGACAAGCATTAATCATAATTTTCAATAAGAACGGCAAGAAAGTTCTGTTGTATGTATGAAAGACCATAGATCTGTTAACAGCTATGTCAAATTGCTCACATCACAGCTTTCGTCTCTTTTATTCGTAGTGGTGATGTCTTCCTCCACACTTGATCATTTGTTTCTCTGCAGTATCTCTACTTCTCTAAAATTACTTATGACTCTCTCATCTGAATAGCCTGACTGTAGTGAATGAGAACACCGAGTCGTATATAACGAAAATTACAGAGTTACTCAGTAAAATTGGAAAACTATATCGTAAATTGTTCATTTGCAAAAGATCAGTTCATCCTATCGAACTGGATTGTTCCTGTTGTCAAACATCAATCCATTGTCACTGTTCATGCGTTTCATACAAATTCTAACTCTTCCTTTCTCTTGATCTTCCCCCATCTTCTGCTGCCAGACATTACGTTGACACTCACGTCATATACTACTTATAAGTAGCTCACACCACATGACAACTTATTATTAGTACATTTGAATTACAAAGATGCGGATGTCAACAATTGTGTTTTCAAGTGTACTGCACACACACTGACACACACACACACACACTGAAACACGCTGGTGACTGGTGTCAATCACTCAATCAAAATTATAAAACGCAAGTTGAATTAAAGTAAATTACCAAAACAAAGCAATTGATAGACAACGCTATTCATCATTGTGAACTGTAGTACGCTTATCATTATTATCAACAACAAAATATTTCAAAAACAGAAATTTCAGTTCAACTATTTGTGTAGATAATCAATGTATATGAAAAAAATTTCTAGTTAGATTTGCCATCAATAAATGTAGAAAAAATATGAACTGAAAATTGTTCTCCTAAGTTATTGACAACTAACTGACGGACATTGCATTCTCAAAAGTAAATGAATGAACTTTCTATTCATCCTGATCGATATTTGATCTGATTATTGATAGCTGCTTCTTAAATGATAACAAACATGTTAATCTACTTCAACAATCAATAAATATAGGTGTTAAACATTGTACGACGTCAATATCTGACGCACTATTCACTGAAAACGGTACAAGAGAATATGCACAGTCATTAAGCGCGCTTATTATTGAGGGTGATTTTCAAAATGGAGCACATTTTCCGAAGGTGAAGATTAATAACATAAGGAATAACACTTTTTAAGGCATGAAAATTTTTCAGTTGACTTCTGATAGGGAAGACATTCCAGAATTGAATACTGCGATTGTAGGATGGCAAGATGGCTTCACCTAACCTATGGGAAATTACTTGATACTTTGAAAATGAAACATTGTAAGAAAGGATTGAAAATTTATCAGTCTCTTTTAACACTAAAAATGAAAAGTTATCGTAAAGAAGTTAGTACCTAGCAAACTAATCATCGAAGAACACAGAAAACAAATTTTATTTAGACATTCCTACGCCATTTCGATGCCCTTTGATTTATATATATTACAAACAGTTAGTCGATATGTTAGTAATCAATTTCAATTGTAAGCTCAATATTAACGCATAAGAATATAGTGAGTCATACACAACTTCAGACATCATAGTGTTTTTAAACTGAACAAAGAATACATGCATATTCGTATGCACAAATTACATGTACGTGGTCGTAAACGAATTTCTGTTGAAAGATCTATCAATAAATTGAGAAATAATAGATTTATGGTTATGCCATTGTTCATTATTGAACGGTTTTACTGATTGATGTCTGACAATTCAAACTTTTGTGGTTGACTCATGATTTTTAGGATAAGATAAAATGTCAGTGATCACATCGTGTAAGTGTATCGTAGTCCTAATAACGGTTTTGTTGATTTTGTTAATTTATTCAATAAATCTTACACCTAGTGAGTAACTTGCAATTGAGCTTCTCCAACCATTGCAATGTGCTCCATCTGAGCCTACCGTTGAGTTGATTTTAAGAGTCGTCTTGTCGAACGGTGATTATCTGTAAGTTAGTAGTCGGTGCGGGCTAAAAAGAGACGGTGATTTGAACGTGCTTATCACTATCTAATACTTAGCTGGAGCACTGTATGTCCTACGTTCGTGCTATTGCTTTGGTTAAGTCTACTGATTTCGACATGTTGACAACCAGCCACTTTTATGAAATCAGTGTTCTGCTATTTGAGGTTGGAAACTTAAAATGAAATCCACTACTTGCTTTGTCATAGTTGCAATCTGTAAAAGCGCATGTAGGGATAACGAAAAGTCAACACCATGTTTCTACCTCTTCGTATCACTGCTTCAACATTTATTTGCACAGAGCACAAGCGATTGTCTATCAATAGCAAGTATAGGATAAGCTGTTCAGTTAAAAAGCTAGTGCAATACCTACTTGGTCATGAGAGGCGGCGTTCTAGTCTCCAGAAACACGGATTAAATCAAATCAGTTCTCCCTATTCATAGGTTATTTTCAGTTACTTACCACACTTGAACCCTGCATTTCTGTTTCGGAGGCACGGAGTCCTAGTGTCCTTCTTATCTAAGAAAGTCTATTGGCCTATCTGTCATGGAATAAAAACATCGTTAGCGCATGGGGATAGAGTCATAGAAGAACGGTTGGTGGAAATAGAAGGCTAATCAACAGGCGATGAACGGATCTTACTAATAACCAGCTAATCAACAGAGCCGCAAAAGGTGTCAGTGAGGGTTCACATGTATTTGCTGTAGTGCAATTATGTTCGTTTATTTGTGACAAGCCTGAACATCGATCAAATGGCAGGATCATCAAGTCATATTTAACAGTTTCACTAAAAAAATAAACAGGTCATACAAAAAAACTTAAATTTGAATCGAAGGCTAACGATTGAAACATCTGTTGAATTTATGAAATTACGTGGAGGTACATTTCTACTTCAAAGAATAGTTTCATATTAATCCATGCATGTATAAGTACATACCTTATTGCCCTGAAACTGCGAAAGGCTAAATAAATCATTTATTGTTCCGCTACATGGACGCTACATGGATAACTCTAGTATTTTCTGAGCTAATACGTTTCTTGATCGGCTGATCCGCAATGGGACAGGTACATTTATTAGAACAAAACCAACCCAGTGTGGCTTCGGCTGTGCTTGTTACACTCTGTGATGACTCTGGACACATTTTCTGACCACAGTCGGCATTGTTTCGGCGAATGCTCTTCATGATGTCTGCCCTATCAAATTGTTGGTAGGTGGTCTGTCTACTATGATGATAACTGGTAACGCGTAATCAGCGTTCAATTCCGGAGAGGGGGCCTGAGAAATGACTACCACATCGACGGAGAGCAGCAGGCGCGCGAGAAGGTACTGACGAAAAATGCGGATACGACACTCATTTCTGGCTCCGTAAGTCAAATGAGTAAAATGTCAACACACACAAACATGTCATTCAAATTAGTACAATTTTGATTTTAATATATTCTATGGTTGTGGCATTATTAATAATAGTGGCAGAATATTTATATGTTTCTAAGAATTCGCGTATTATTTCTGGCCATTGAAACATGACAAATCTTGTAACCTCAACGATTATTTATCAGTCCTTCCTCTGTTATACTATTGATCATAAATGATTGTTAACTTTTGTAGTTTTTAAACTTGTAACTTCAAAATCATATATAGTTGAAGTTGAAGTAGTTATTGATCTGTTTAAATGTTAACTTGCGAAACATGAAGTTCTTCAGTCAAATTTTTTAGAATTTCCTTAAATAATCTCGTGGTTCCTTTCCTCTTTTATATGCATATAGAACACATTCATTAAGGCTACAAAAACCTTCTTTGAAATCATGTTAAACCACCACTAGATACGTGGAAGCAATAAACAGCCATTTTGTCCGAGTTCGGTATTCACCAGTAGTGTCAATCCAGGATACTGAATGTAGGATTCAAAACCAGTAGGTTCGTTTTCGCGTGAAAAATCTTAACATCTCAACCATTGTGTGCGTATGTATATTCATCCGACTTCCTAAGATAATTGTTAGTCAATTCCTAATGGTTAATTCCAAATGGTCAATTTTATGGTCGTCCTAGATATCGATGTCACGTGCTCCAATGTTTTTTCTTATTGGTTGTCCCGACTATCAATGCCACTTCAAATGTTGTTTCCTATTGGTCGTCTTAACTGTCAATGTCACAGAATTCGATGCTGTTTCCTATTCGACCAAAATAAGTAAATAAATACGCATTATCTGTAACGTATTATGACCACGACCAGGACCAGGCCTCGGTCCTGGTTCCCTAGTCCGGGGTCCTGATTCTCTCCTCGATTCGGACCTCGTACTTACTGACTGCTTGTAGAATACAGGTTCTACTTCATATCACGTCTTCTTATTTTCACTCCATATGGTGGTTTGAATAATCGGATTTGAGTAGCATGTCGTGTCACCGGATCCTCGACAATCGCTCTTATTTTCTGACAAGGTAAACTAGCAATAGTTCAAGTATATCGAAATGACGTGTTTAAGTGCAGGCGTAACAGTGTGGCCGTTGAACGTTGTTATTATCGACTTCGGATTAATCCACGGTACAACGCAACCATCATTCAACGTATTGCCTACCAGTGATACATTAGTTTTATTGCAAAACTACACGTATTATCCAACTTACAACTATAAGACTACGAACTTAGTTGATATATATATATGTATATATTTATATAGGCGTATAGAAAGTATTTAAATAATCTATTTTTTTGTGAATCACCTTAAGGTAAATTTAAATTCGGTCAAGTGATCTGCATCATGAGTGAAATGATGACCAGAGTAAAGTATTCAACTTCAATGTATGTTTAATTAGAAACAAGTCACTAAGATGAAAAAACAAAATCAATCCCTGGAAAAGTGAACCACATGATATACCTAGTTGTTTATTTAAGTACAGAACAAAAAACGATAAATTGACAGACAGTTCAAGAATAATACAGATTGTTCAAAAACAAAAAACCAGTTGAATAGTTCTCAATTAGGGTTAAACATGATTTCGTCTGCTGTAAATAATTAGTCCTGCTACGATTGTTACCAGTAAAAGTGCGCAACCAACTAAGCCAATAATAATTCCAGGATGAACTAAATGAAATAACAACAGCAAACAATTATACTTCTAAATGTGTAAGAAAAATATATATATACCATACTACTAACTGGTTCAGTGTTTGGTTGTTTAATTTCGAATTCATATATTAATATTTTGTAGCCTACAATTCTACAAAATCATAACAATCACAATATTGTTTAGAAGGAGAAAGACAGAGATGATGAGGAGTTAAGAAGGTTAGAATTTAAGAGAACACAAAAAGTGGATGCACCTGCGCCATTGCAAACGATTTTGAGCCATGTCGTTTATGGTCTCTAACCATCGATGACTTTCGTTTCGCGGACCCCAACCACGTAGCCTATATCTACCAACATGACCTACTCCCCTACACCACAAAATATAGCTCGTCGTGGCAGTCGGTGGTTAGCTATACGTAACACATGTCCCAACCACCTCAACTGATGAAGTTTCACTACTTCATCAATTGATTTGCAATCCCTACTTAGAATTCGTTTCCTAACGACAGCATTGCTTACCCGGTTGTCCCATGATACACGATCAATGCTTCGGAGACATCCATGATCGAAGACTAATAACCTACGAATGTCCTCTACTCTTAACTGCCAAGTCTCGCATCCGTACAGTAGGACGGAGCGAACTGCTGCACAGTACACTGGTCTTTTAGTCAGCAAACGGATATCTCGCCTACGCCATAAGTGACGCAGGTTGGCAAAAGCCAATCGAGCCTTCTTTATCCAAGCTGAGATTTCTTCAGTCACCAGGCCATCAGCACTGATGAGACTCCCAATATAAGTGAAGCGGTCTACACGTCCGACTACTTCACTCCCTATCACTAGTTCAGGTGACGATGCAACCCGATCTTGAAGCAACATTTTGCATTTCGAGGGTGAGAACCGCATCCCGAACATGCTTGCATTGTTGCTTATGGTAGTCAGAAGACTCTGCATTTTGTCAGCGTCTTCACCAAATCGAACTATTTCATCGGCATATTCTAGGTCAATAAGCGAGCCTCCTAGTAAAAGGTCTACTCCTGAAAATTCAGACGAGGATAAGGTTATTTCTAGGAGCATGTCCATGATAATAATAAATAAGAATGGATAGTGGACATCCCTGACGGACACAACTTGGAGTGAAGAATTTCGTTGACAGTTCACCATAAGCTCTCACACGACCAGTGGTGTTCGAGTAGAGAGCTTGTATAAGGCTAATGTACTTCTTTGGTAAACCTTTAAATGACAGACACCGCCACAGAACCTTACAATCTACACAGTCGAATGCCGCTTTTAGGTCCAGGAAGACAGCGATTGTAGGACGCCTAAATGTGTGTCCGTGTTACAGGATCTGCCGGAGTGTGAAAATGTGGTCTATACAGCCACGTCCAGGTCGAAAACCAGCCTGGTTTTCCCTGGTCTGCTCTTCACGAGCACTAGTAATGCGTCTAAGTATAATCGAGGCTAACAATATACATACTATATTAGTTAGATATATTCCCCTGTGATTGTCACAAGTAGACTTTTATTGTTTCTTATAAATTGGGACAATCAGGGATTAAGACCAGTCGGATGGGATATTCACAATAGAAATCATCACACGTGTGAGTAAAACTAATAAGTTCTATTTTATGGTTGCGATGACGTATTATGCTGTGCAAAGTAAACCATGGGTACTATTCGTAATACAGTTCCACACTGATACACTGATATTTATTCTGAGAATTTTTAAACGCTCATCATAAATGATTGTAACTTCATATGCGGTGATGTTAAATATTGCCTTTTTTCATTTCAGTGAAGCGCCTCACATGATATTCACCAGGCCAAATTATTGATGGGCATTATTCTCATTAGACAATCATAATCAGGTGTTTATCTAATCAAGCAACAGGTCATCAACAAAATGCATATCTTAACCAAATTCATTTATCACGAAGTCAGTTTGTCTAGTGAAAAAAACATCACCAACTGGTAGTTCGAAGTAGTTGTGAATTGTCACTAGAACAATACGTAATTATCTATAATTGAGGTGATCAAACGAGCATGAATAAAGAACAATGCCATGAGAAAGATAGACAAACCTTTTATCTGAAATTTCTTCTTTCCTAAATATCAATGTAGGGAAAAGAAATGAATATTCAGTTCATAGGACAATGAATTAAAGTATGATGGAATGATAATCGAAGTGACTATTGAGTGAGCTACGTGTGATGAATGCGTTTGGTAGTAGTGATTGCAGTCACTGTATGCGTTACACTCTGACTCAGTAATAATGATAAGAATGTGATACAATCAATCTAGAATTGAAGTTTTGATAAGCAGTGACTTACCTTCGGTTGTAGATAGAGTTTTACCTGTATGTTGATGGAAGACAGTGAGAACAAAAAATGATTAGTCCTCAGATAATTCAGTGAGTTCACAATGAAATAACATAACGTACGACATATTACTTCCGAAGTTAACTTATTTCTTATGTGGTAATCATACTTTATTCACCTTATAACTGAATCAAGATGTATAAGGTTTATTAATTGTAGCCTACTGAGCTCCCGTTTCCAATGCTGAATTGAGACGATTAGGCTTTAGACTGAATTAGACAATCAGCAAACTCTGTAGGATGGTCACACGTTTGTGCAGGACTTCTAGATGCCCTCACAACCGACAGCCGATTTCACGCTTTTGTGAATTCATTAGTCTATTCTACATCATAAATTTAAGTTTGCTTCTATCGTTCTGTGTCTCTCATGACTGCTTTCTTGTCTATGTGAGATGTGAAATTCGATTAAAAGTTGATCATTCCTATCGTCGGTCTAGTTTTTTCTAATTCCATTTTATTACTCTCTCTCTCTCTGGTGCTGGTTTTCCGCATAGATGAAAATTGAATGAATGAAGTTTTAAATACAAACAAGTTTTGATGAAAATTTGATCACTTACTTTTAGTTTCTAGATTGCGCAACTTCACTCCCGACGATTTTTTCGATCGACTGATACCGGAACTGATAATATTTGTTAATGATTGCACACTCAGTTCCACTGCTTGAGGAGATGGAATTGTCACATTTGCAATTCCTTGGACACCTTGTTTTGTTTTCAGATCTACACCATCCAATGTATTTGTTTCTCTCCTCCGACGACTTGACAAAGTAACTGGTGTGAAAATAACATTATTACAAATAACACCTGTTGACAGTGATTGATTTCCAAGTTCGATGCCTTCTATGATCTGTGAATATTTTAAAAGTAAACAAGATAACCATCAGTTTCACATTTAGACAGTGAGTTATCAATCAATACGTTATGACAGTGATAGACTGGTTGAGTTTTGAAATGTACTTGTCATATATCTTGGTTGATAGAAATGATTGCAATAAATATAACTTTACAATATGATGAGTTGTCACTAAAACATTCAAACGTTCTACCAAATATAGTCAAAAAGATATCAATTCCACATTCATTGCATTCAGTACCCAACAGAATTTATTACATCTGGCCACATTCAACGGATTTGGCAATCACGCTTAGCAATTCTACAAATATTCATTCATTGATAACTGATCACATTTCCAAACTAACCAATTCTAGACGAAAAGTGAAAGAAAATGAATAGTGGAAAATGATGCAGGTGATTTGAGTGACTACACTGAGTTCTGGAATTACATCTGCATTTATTGCATACAATATGCATTATGTTGTGCATATATGCTTAATAACGTAAATCACATTATCAAACTTACTGAATCACAAAATGATTTTGACAAGCTAATATATTGTGGAGTGCTTGTATCCATCAGGTTAGATGACCAGTATTGCGGTCCGTCTTCATCATCCGTGAATAGTACTGCCTGCACTTGGAATATAGAGACTATTGAAAAATGCAAAAGGAAGAAAAGTCATAAATAAGGTTTATTGTATAACACACTGTGCGGTTAACCGGCTGACTGACTGAACGCAGGTGTGAAACTGACGATAAGTATAAACTACGTGAGTGAGATAGTGATTGAGCGAGCTCGTGCGGAAATAGATGGCTGATGCTTGAATTTTTCATAAATCAATGGCGATGTATGAAGTGGACGCCATCGAGCTGTGAAATCAGCAAGGAACTTGATGATTAGACTAGTAGTGTAGTGTGAGTGAAGCAGTGCTTTGATGCTGCTGTTGTGGTTTGATGCAGAATGTAGTAGGTGTGCGTGTGGATTATGCATGTGGCAGCGTGTCTTACGTCAAAATATGTGAGACTATTAGTACCAGAATTGGTGTAGAGATATTTGCGTTCATGCGAGATTTTGAATAAGCGAAATGATGCGTGATAAAGTGGCGATGCAATGAGAGGCGCATGAAATCCGACTGAATAAAATGAATACTGATGAACTGACCTGGTGTTTCTTTTTCTATAGTTGGCTTTGGTTGCTCAGTTGTTTGAGGTTCTGTACATATGAATCAATTGAAAATAATGAGTGAGTGGGATCTAATAAAAGGAATATGTAGATTTGATATGTTATCAATTTGCAACAGCACTGACCTATGAATGTGAAGTGAAGAATGCAGGGTAAGTGCTCGTGTGTCAGTTTTGAGTTATTGAAAAGAAAGGGAAGAAGCTGGATAATATTTGTTTGGCATGAGGATGTGATCGGAGATTCGGTTACTGAGTTAGAGAATGTGAAGTTGAGGTAGAGGAGAGTGTGTGGTGCAATCTGTGTTCGTGACACACGGGAACGGAATTATGCCTGCAGACTAGTAGTGGCAGACGAAGCGCGCGTGATTCACTATATGGTTTGACCGTCGACTGATTGAATGCCAGTGTGACTAGAAGACTGACCAGACGAATGGCTTGAACGCGAAGGAGCTGTGGAATAAGCAACGAACTTGATGATGAGATTTGTGGTATAGTGTGAGTGAAGCCGTTTTTTGTATCAATGGCATTGTCACATGATGCGGTGTGTGATGAGTGTGCCTATGACGGCTTTTGTGTGATAGTGTGTATTGCGTGACATTTGATGTGAGTGTGTGAATGAGTGTTGGTGTGGTGTTGTATTTTGGTGTGTTTTGGGTGCGTTCGAAATAGTGTAACAAGTTGACGACGCGTGATATAGTGGCGATGCAATGAGAGTCGCATGAAATCAAACCGATTGAAATAAATACAGGTGAACTGACTTGGTGTTGTTTTCTCCGTAGTTGGCCGTGGTTGTCCAGTTGTTTGAGGTTCTGTACCTACGAATCAATGGAAAATAATGCGCGAGTGAGGTCAACTGACAGGAATATGTAGCTTTGATATATTTGCATTTATATCGGCACTGACCTATGCGTTGAGAGTAATGAATGCAGCTCGTTTGTCTGTCCATGGGTGATGATTTATTTGTGGAATAGAAAGTAGAAGGATTCCAGCTGGTTGGTCGTGAGAATGTGTTCGGTGATTCTGGGGAATGAGTGATAGACAGTTCCGAAGGCCTGTTGCATGTGTGGTGGGATCGACGTACGTGACGTTGATCAAATGAGTGATTCGCGCAGTCTAGCGGTGGCACACGCTGCGTCCGTAATTCACTGAATGGTTGGCCGGTCGACTGACTGAATGCCAGTGTCACTGACTGGCACACTGACCAGATGCTTCGGCCATTGTGACTGCGGTGAGTGGGTTGTGAATCGAGTGAGATGTAGTGGGCGATGGCGATGCAGTAAGATATTGAATGATTGGATGTGTTTGTGGATAACGAAATGAGAGGATGTGTTAACCAGTGCTGGAGTTTGAGTGAGTGTGTGATCGAGCTGGTGTTTGGATGAGTGAGTGATAGGTGGAGATGAATAGATTGGACGCGATCGAGCTATGGAATGAGTAATGAATTTGATGATGAGATTTGTGGTGTAGTGTAAGTGAAGCAGCGTTTCGATTCACTGTCATTGTGACATGATGCGGTGTGTGGTGAGTGTGCACGTGACGGCTTTTGTGTGGTAGTGTGTATTGCGTGACATATTGTGTGATTGTGTGACGGAGGGTTGGTGTAGTGTTTTTATTTGGTGTGTTTTGGGTGCATTCGAAATCGCGTAACAAGACATATGGTGTGCGTTGTCAGCATGCGAGATTGCGAGGCAGCGAAATGACGAGTGATTTGGTGGAAATGTTATGAGAGGCGAATGAAATCGAACGGATTGAAATGAATACATGTGAACAGACCTGGTGTAGCTTTCTCCGTAGTTGGCTGTGGTGGACCAGTCGTTTGTGGTTCTGTAACTGCAAACCAATGATAAAAGATAATGCGTGAGTCAGCTCACCTGAAAGGAATATGAAGCTTAGATACATTAGCATTTAGATCGGCACTGACAAATGCAGAGGGATTAATGATTACAGCTCGCTTGTATGTACGCGAGCGCTGAGATAATTAAAAGAATAGAGAGGAGATGGAAGACAGTTGGTTGGTGAAAGTAAGTATTCGAGCAGTTCAATGAGTAATGCAGTAGACAATGAGATTTGCTTCCTGGATGTACTAATCACCAGAACTAACACAGGAAAACTAGAAACTCAAGTATTTCGGAAGCCAACCCACACCGACGTAATTCTCAACTACGACAGCAACAACCCAAGAACCCACAAAATCAACTGCATACAAACTCTGTTCAAGAGAGCGAAGACACACTGCAGCACATACGAAACATTAAAAAACGAGGAAAAACATCTGATGACTATCTTCCAAAAGAACGGCTATCCACGCAACTTCATCAAAAAACATCAACCAAAACTATCATCAGGAGTGAAATCAAGCACAGGAACAAATAAACGCATCATCCTACCATACATCAAAGACATATCAGAGCATACGGCACGACTACTGAAACCATTTGGAATAGGTGTGGCACACAAACCAACGGAATCACTTCAGTCAATCCTATGTAGACCAAAGGACAAAATGACAAAGGAAGAAAAACCAAATATCATCTACAAAATAAATTGCTCAAATTGTGAAAAACACTACATAGGACAAAGTGGACGACCTCTTCAGCTCCGTTTACGTGAACATCAATTAGCAGTCAAACGCCACGACAACGCTTCGCTTATATCAATACACACCGACAATTATGGACACACATTTGATTGGAACAACGTGGAAATACTAGGTAGGGGGAGGACAAAGAACACTAGAGAATTTTTAGAAGCTTGGCACTCAGGTCAATTAGCAATCAACAAACACATCGACATTGACCCAATTTATCAACCAATCAGGAAAATCATAGGTGACACTAGATCAAGAAACAGATCAAAAGAGGGAGGCAATCAAAACATAGTTGCAAACAACGACAGGTCAAATGTCAACAACAACCAATCAAGATCGAGGTTAGCAGAACAAGCTACAGGTCAAACGTGGAGAAATTCTAATGCTTCACTTCTATCTGAAGTTCGTGCTGATGATGTTGTTCAGAAGAACAATGAAAGCTCCACAACCAAAACAACCAGCTCAGAGAACGAAACACCACCACAATCATCCACCTGAGCTACAAGTTTTCTCCACCATCTCTCACCGGAATTCTTCACTTAAAATGGTGTCCGTCAGGGATGTCCAATTTTTTCCATTACTGCTCAAGTGTGTCACAGACATGCTGCTTGAGTTTACATGATCTGCGTCAGAATTTTCAGGAGCATACCTTCTAACAGGAAGCTCGCTTATCGACTCAGAATATGTCGATGATATACTTATATTTGGTGGAGATGCTGACAAAATTCAAAGTCTTCCGATTACCCTGAACAACAATGCAAACATGTTCGGTAAGTGGTTCTCAAACTGGGAATGCTAAATGTTGCTTCAGCATTAGGTTTTATCGTACCTGAACAACTGATAGGGATTGAACCAGTTCAGCATGTTCATCTCTTCACTTATCTCAGGAGTCTCCTCAATGCCGATGTCCTGATGACTGACAAAATCTCAGAACGGATATAGAAACTCTTATTGGATATTGCCAACCTGCGGCACTTATGGCGAGATATCCGTTTGCTGACTAAAGGGAGAATGAACTGGGCAGCACTGCACTCCGTTCTCCTATGTGGATGCGAAACATGGCCAGCAAGAGTAGAAGATATTCGTAGATTACGTCTTTTCCGAAACCTTGGTCGAGTATCGTGAAATAGCAGAGTAAGCAAAGCTTTTGTTCGGAAACGGGTTCTAGGGATGGCTTGTCAATAGATGAAGTAATGATTGTGACATCTGTTACGTATGCCTAACCACCGACAGCTTCCTCAAGCTATGGTTTGCGATAGTGGATTAGGTTGGACGAAAATTACAGGCGGCCAGAACAAAACATCACAGAAATCCATGAGGTCACTGACATATGGACTGAGTCGTCTCGGTAGGTGTCGACTACAGGTTTGAGTTCCCCGAGATGATAATGATTGGGTGTTAGAGACTCCGAGTGACACTGCTCAAAACATTTGCAAAGGCACAGGTGCATTTACATTTTGCAGTCTATGAATTTAAAACCTTCCGAACTTTTCATCACTTCTATCTTTCTCCTTCTAAATTTACCTTGTTGAATAACATCTTCCAATGCTATTCTCCCCGATCACATCTAATACTTTTACTTTCTCTCCTTCTATAGGATTTGAATCGATAATTGCATCTTTATGATAATGTGGTAAGACAACGTCAACTTCTGTACTCATGCGCAAAGTTCTACTATGCTGTTGATGATCATGATTTTACAGTTAATTTTTTGTATCAGTGAGTAGTATCTAGACAGGAATGGAGCTAACACCCTGGAGCTGTATATTGAGCGATTTCTTTCTGTGATAGTTTTCATCGTGTATTTT